TGCCTACGCTGCAAGGAGGGATGAGGTGGGCATGGCTAATCACAGCCATGTTTAACTGTAGCTTGTGAAGGCCAGGCTCCCAATGGTAGAGATTGCAAAAGGGCTATGCTACATTTCCCATGCTGCCTTGCTGCTTGCTAACCAAAATGTCTGAAGGACCCAAAATAGCTGTCTGTAGCGGTCTTCACCTAAATATAAAATAAACTAATTGACTCTACAAAGGTGTCTAAAGAAGGCAGCAAAGCAACAGGCAACTTCTGCAAGTGGATGTCAGGAGAGTTTGGATGGTGTCTTTCTGCCCAGAAGAAGGGGGTCAGTCTAGATGTCCCTTGATGGGGCCTGCACTATGATTTCTTTTCTCCACCAATTTAACATGGTTTGTGCCACACAAACAAAGTTTCTGGAGTAGAACAACGACTTTCAAAGTAAAGACCACCCAATGAAACAGGAAATAACACTTTCAAACCAGGAGCAGACTTTCTTTATTATTAAATTTGGAGAAGCCAAAGGTTATGAAATTTGGTGAGCGAATAGTGGGACATATGTTCTACCACTGTAGCAAATTTCATCAGGATTGCTCTAAAAATGAGGGAGGGAGAATCCCCAGCGCAGTTTTTTTTCCTACTGCAATTCAAAACGTTTTGATTTTTTTTAAAAAAAAAATCGGAAGTGAATTTAGAATCGAACCACCGATGCCCACTACATCTGAAATGGGTTTTGAACCAATTTTTTTAATCAACCAAGCCTAATAAATACTGTAAATAAAAAAGGGTCATTTGAGGGACTTGGCACAAAAAACTCTAAACTTTGTATATTCCATCTGAACATGAGGAAGAACTTCCTGACTGTGAGAGCCGTTCAGCAGTGGAACTCTCTGCCCAGGAGTGTGGTGGAGGCTCCTTCTTTGGAAGCTTTTAAACAGAGGCTGGATGGCCATCTGTCAGGGATGATTTGAATGCAATATTCCTGCTTCTTGGCAGAATGGGGTTGGACTGGATGGCCCAGGAGGTCTCTTCCAACTCTTTGATTCTATGATTCTATTATTCTTTGTGCTTACCCTGGAAGATTTGCATTTGTGTTTTCCCCATCAGATGTTGACTCCTGAACTGCATTGGAGGAGATATATTGGTTTTCCCAGTATCCATAACCCCATGGACAGTGGAAGGACTGATTTTGGAGCAGAAGATCCATATGAAGGAAGCCTGCTTACGCCTTGAGCTTTTGGTAATGATGACATTTAGTGTGACCTTTGGGAAACAGGGAGGAATGGCAATCCGGAGGCGGTTTCCTTTAATACTGTAACTAATGATCATAATCACTTTCCAATAATATTTTGACTCCCGGCAGTTGGAGAAGGAGAGACTCGGCCAGGTTCTCCCCATTTCAACAACGTTTCATCGACTCCAAATGTCATCCGGTTTGCGGGTAGAAAGTGAGACCACATAAAAACTTTTCTCCGTGTTTCCTGGGATGTCTTTTTCATTCAGGTTGCTAAGCAGCCACATACTTGCCCTCTCTTTGTGGTTCACCCATCAACAGCTTGGAGATAAAGAACCAGGAGCAAAGACATCCATCAATGGCCTGACCTCTCCGGCAGGAACAATGGCTCTATTCATTGGGAAAGGTGACGGAATACGAAGGGACCAAGCATGCCCAAAAAACGAAGATGAAGCTGTGGTGTATTTAATTATAAGTGTCCTCCATTCTGCCCTTCCTTTAGTCCTTCGTTGCTTCTTGCTGGAGTTATGCGCTGAAGAAAACAACATCTTCCTGCCTGAAAGGTATTCCCCACAATGGTAAGACGGTGCTCATTTTCTATTTATTGCACGAGGAGAGGGATGGATGGAAATGGCAAGCATGAGTACCGGGCATCTTTCCTGCAGGCCACAAAGTTGTGGACCATTTGGAAGTGAAAGGACTTGATTGCTGCAGATTTTTTTATTTATTTGTCGTGTCAGATTAACCAGACAGTTATATTACATTTCTAACAGAACAAAGCAAACAAACAGATAAAATACAGCATTTGTGAGTTTGGTAGTTGGTTAAATGTCCTTTGACCAGTATCTGGCCACTTGGAGTGCTTCTGGTGTTGCCGCAAGGAGGTCCTCCCTTGTGCATGTGGCAGGGCTCAGGGTGCATTGCAGCAGGTGGTCAGTGGTTTGTTCTTCTCCGCACTCGCATGTCGAGGATTCCACTTTGTGGCCCCATTTCTTGAGGTTGGCTCTGCATCTCGTGGTGCCAGAGCGCAGTCTGTTCAGTGCCTTCCAAGTCGCCCAGTCTTCTGTGTGCCCAGGCTAGACAGTGTAATTTCTCCAGTGGTGTAGGGCGCAGACACCCCGTGATAATGCGGCATGTCTCACTAAGAGCCACATCCACTGTTTTAGCGTGGTGAGATGTGTTCCACACTGGGCATGCATACTCAGCAGCAGAGTAGCATAGCGCAAGGGCAGATGTCTTCACTGTATCTGGTTGTGATCCCCAGGTTGTGCCAGTCAGCTTTCGTATGATATTGTTTCTAGCACCCACTTTTTGCTTGATGTTCAGGCAGTGCTTCTTGTAGGTCAGAGCACGGTCCAGAGTGACTCCCAGGTATTTGGGTGCGCTGCAATGCTCCAGTGGGATTCCTTCCCAGGTGATCCTCAGAGCTTGGGGTGCTTGTCTATTCTTAAGGTGAAGGGAAAGCATTTGATTGCTGCAGATAATGGGATGTAAAGTCTGATCTTAGGAAGATGACAACTCATGTGTTGCCCACCTTTTGGGCATTGCCTACCGCTTTATTGAAATTGGTTTGAGGTAAGGAGCAAGTCCCTCCCCTGTTGACGTTTGGTGCCATCAAGTCAACTTTGTTGAACATTCAGGCTGTGAACAAGAGGTGCCAGGGTCCATCTACATTGTAGAATTAATGCACTTTGGCACCACTTGAAGTGCCATGCCTGAATGCCATGGAATCCTGGGAAGTGTAGTTTGGTTCACTCTTGGGCAGCGAAGGCTAATGGCCTTGTGAAACTGCAACCCCTACAATTCCTTAGCTTGTTTACTTACTTAGGTGATTCCTTGTAGCCCGAAGATGATGGTTCCCCCATGTGAAGTGTCTTGGAGGTGGATCTGTAGGTGGCTCTGGAGCCCTATTCTTGACCCACATGTTCTCCCACAGTGAGGACATTGGTTTCCAGGTGGAAGGCAGTCCCAGTCAGGGTTGGCTTAACGCACCTTCCTCTTGGAACATTTCTCTCTTTCACTCTCCATTCATGCCTCTTTGAATTCTGCAGCACTGCTGGTCACAGCAGACCTCCAGTTACAGCACTCAAGGGCCAGGGCTGCCCAGTTCTCGGTGTCTATACCACAGTTTTTAAAGTTTGGTTTTAAGCCCACCTTTAAATCTCTTTTTCTGTCCACCAACATTACGTTTTCCAATCTTGAGTTCAAAGTAGAGTAACCACTTTGGGAGATAGTGATCGGCCATTCAGACAACATGGCCTTCAGTCCGTCAGAGTTGATGGCTGAGGAACATCCCTTCAATGCTGGTGGTCTTTGCTTCCTCCATCACGCTGACATTTGTTCGCCTGTCTTCCCAAGAGATTTGCAGGATTTTCTGGAAGCAATGCTGATGAAATCATTCCAGGAGTTGAGTGTGATGTCTGTAGAACACATTTCGCAGGCATATAATAGGGCTGGGAGGACAACAGCTTTATAAACAAGCACCTTGGTATCCCTACGGATGTCCCCGTCCTCAAACACTCTCTGTGTTGTGACTCAGCTGGAATCACAGAGTGTCTCAGGTTCATAGTCTGGTTCAAAATGTCCCTGTTATAGGCAGTGAGGAACTGCAGTTTCCCACAGCAAGGAATTTGAGTGTTGATACTGAAAATAGCCAGGTGCATTTGCAGATGGTCTCAGAGAAGGAGGACAGTTCTCAGCCCGATAAGAAGCAAGCAGGGAAACAAGCTGATACTAACGAACAGACTGACCTTGACGAAATGGGAACCTTAGATCGGGCTGACCGTATGGAATTCCGAGTTCGAAGGAGTGTGAGAATAGCTAACAAGAGGGAGGCCAGAGGCCAAAGAAATGCCTTCATGTTTTGCAAAGGGTATTAAGCAGTGTGTTTGAGACCAAACCTTTGTCAAAGCGACTTTTCATTTAACTAAGAAACTTGCCTTTGCTTGTCTGGATTATCTTGCAGTTCTTGTGTTCATGGTTTCAGGAATTGGTCATGTTCTCTTGGGTTTTTGCTTTGCTGGTGCCTTTTTGGGTTAAGCTTCAAAGTGCTATATTATATTTATCTTTTGGAACATTAACCTTTGCCTTTAAGAACTTTTAACCTTTTATTTTTAATAAACTATAAAGACTTCTGGCTGTGTGCACTTTGGTGATTTCAGCAAGGTGAATCTACTCTGAGGTGCAGCACTCTGCTTCATTCGGAAGAATGCTGCACTTGCAGAGCTCAGGCGGTGTTGCATTTCAGAGTCAATGTTGACTTTTGTGGAGAGGTGGCTGCCAAGGGAGTGGAAATAGTCAACATTTTCTAACGTTACACCATTAAGCTGTATTTCTGGCATTGCAAAAGGATTGGCTGGTGCCTGCTGGAAGACCACTTTGGTTTTCTCGATGGATTCCTTAGTATTAAGCCATTTTGGTTAAAGTGCACTCAAACTATATTGAGATGTTACCCTCTTTTGTGAATTCATATAACATACATTTTGTCCCTTAGGTTCAAAGCCCTGGCTCTTCAGAAATGAAGCGGGGAGAGAAAACAGAAGTGTCCACGGGATGTGGTGAGTCGTTTGACAAGATTGTGTCCATGTTTCAGGAAAATTAGTTAGTAGAAAGACATCGAACTTTTATTACTGGGAGCTGCATTGTGTTCTAACATCTAGGAACTGCCTCTTTCTTTATGTCTCCCAATGCTTTTCTCTCTCTAGGGCCATCCAAAAATGAAGCCCAGAACACTACTTGTGTGTGTGTATATATAGATATATACTTTCTCCATCTTTTTCACCATGCAAGGACTGGGCTGTGGCACAGCTAGTTAGTAGCCAGCTGCATTAAATTGCAGCTGATTGAGAGGTCATGAGTTCAAACCCAGCCTGGGTCAGAGTGAGCTCCTGAACATTAATAGTCTAGCTTGCTGTTGACCTTTGCAGCCTGAAAGACAGTTGCATCTGTCAAGTAGAAAATTTAGATACCTCTTTATGTGGGGAGGGTAATTTAACTAATTTATGACACCATAAAACCTTCCAGCAGCATGCATAAGAATGAGGAAGTACTCCATCAAGGACTTGGTGTCACAAGTGGACGGTGAAGTGGCAGCTCACGCTGTGGACGGAATCGAACATACCCTCATGAAGCTGGAAAGCTGGAATGTTAAACTGCTTCTGTGGCAGTCTATATATGTTTTATGTCTAATGGCATTGAAAGTTTGCCATGTATATGTGCATTGTAAGGGGTGAGAAGGATGGAATATAAATACTGTAAATCTATATAAATAAAAATGTAATGTCCGTTTGTGGATTAACATAACTTAAAAACCACTGGACGAATTGACACCAAATTTGGACACAACACACCTATCAGGCCAACAAGTGACCATCACTCATAAAAACACTGGAAAACACCACAGAAGAGACTTAAAAAGCCAAAAAATGAAAAATACATTACAACGCATGCTTAAAAACACACACACACATATATGCAAACAACATATATACACATATACCAAAATATATACACACACATATACACAGAAAGGGGGAAGGAAGGAAGGAAGGAAGGAAGGAAGGAAGGAAGGAAGGAAGGAAGGAAGGAAGGAAGGAGAGAAGGAAGAAAAGAAAGAGGGAAAGGAGGAGGGAAGGAGAGAAGGAAGGAAAGAAAGAAAGGTAGAAAAGGGAGGAAGGAGAGAAGGAAATAAAAAAGTGAAAGAAGGAAGGAAAGAGAGAGGGAGGGAAGGAGAGAAGGAATGAAAGAGAGAAAGAGGGAAGGAGGGAAGGAAAAAGACAAGGAAGGATGGAACCAAAGAGCACAGAAAGGGAGCAAAGAAACAGGTAGAGAAGGATGAAAGAAGAAGGGAAAGAGGAAGGGAAAGAAAAAGAGGGAATAAAGGAAAGAGGGAAGGAAGGAAGGGAGAGAGAGAAAGAAGGAGAGAACGAGGGAGGGTAGGTTGGTCACAGCAACGTGTGGTGGGTACAACTAGTAAGTAAATAATAAGTAAATAATAAATAATACATTTTGAAGGAGCACTTCTGAGTTTCAGATGGAATTCTTTTCCAAGCACGAGTTGGAGAAATATATCTATGGTCTTTTAGCAATGGGGGGGGGGGGGGGGGGGGGGGGAGGATGGATGCGCAAATGCTCCATTTGTCATTTTCCTTATCATTCAATTTTGCTTGAGCATTCAACATCTTCTGCCATTTCTCTTCCAGCATTTCCTTGCACCGTTCAGAGGAGCCTGGTGCTCCTTGGGATCTCCATTTTGCTGACTGGAACAGGGATTGGGATCTGGTTTTGGGGTGAGTCGACTTCCCTCTACCCCTAACCAACTTTCCTCACTTTTCATAACTTTCCTCATTCACCCTTTTCTCATTTTCCGTCCCATTTAGTAAAATCTCTGCCAAGTCGCTTCCACCGTCAGCCCTTCCAGGACTCAGTGGATAGTTTAGCAAGATGCACAAATGTTACAACAGAAATGGAATGGGACCCCAAAAACCCCTTTGGAAATGCCGGTGGGAAGAAAGGTTTGGAATCTTCCTCCTCCCTTCCTTTTGTTTCTTCCTCCTCCTCTCCCTCCCTCCTTTCCTCTTCCCCTTCCTCCTCTTTGTCCTTTTCTCCATCCTTCTTCTTTCTCTTTTCCTCATTCTTCCTGCCCTTCCTTCCTTCTCCCCCATCTCCTCCTCTTCTCCTTCTTCCCATCATCAATGTAAACGTTATTTATTTTGGGTTGTTGTATGTTTTTCGGGCTGTATGGCCATGTACTAGAAGCATTCTTTCCTGACATTTCACCTGCATCTATGGCAGGCATCTGCAGAGGTTGGAAACTAGGAAAATTGGGTTTATATATCTACAATCCACGTTGCTGTGGCCCAGTCTGTGTATACGTGTTTTGTGTGTGTATATGTGCATATATGTGTGTTTGCATATATATGTGTGTGTGTGGTTTTGCGCATGCACTGTAATGTATTTTTTATTTTTTTGGCTTTTTAAGTCTCTTCTGCTGTGTTTTTCAGTGTTTTTAGGGATGATGGTCACTTGTTGGCCTGATAGGTGTCTTGTGTCCAAATTTGGTGTACATTCGCCCAGTGGTTTTTGAGTTACGTTAACCCCACAAACGAACATTACATTTTTATTTATATAGATGGAATGGTGTCTGGGGGTAGAAAGAACTCTTGTCTGTTCGAACTAGGTGTGAACGTTTCAGTTGGCCACCTTGATTAGCATTTGATGGCCTAGCAGTTTCAAGGTCTGGCTTCTTACTACCTGGGGAAATCTTTTGTTGAGAGGTGATTAGCTGTCCCTGATTGTTTCCTGTCTGGAGTTCCCCTGTGTTTGGGTGTTGTTTTACTCTTACAATTTTAGAGTCTTTTTTAATACTGGTAACCAGATTTTGTTCATTTTCATGGTCTCTTCCTTTCTGTTGAAATTGTCTACACGCTTGTGGATTTTAGTGGCTTCTCTGTGTAGTCTGACATGGTGGTTCTTGGAGTGGTCCAGCATTTCTGTGTTCTCCAATAATCTGCTGTGTCCAGGTTGGTTCATCAGGTGCTCTGCTATGGCTGACTTCTCTGGCTGGATTAGTCTGCAGTGCCTTTCATGTTCCTTGATCCATGTTTGAGCAATGCTGCTGCGTTTGGTGGTCCCTCTGGAGACTTCTTGCCCACAGCTGCATGGTACACGGTAGACTCCTGCAGAAGTGAGAGGATCCCTCTTGTCCTTTGCTGAACGTAGCGTTTGTTGGATTTTCTTGGTGGGTCTGTAGATAGTTTGTATGTTGTGTTTCCTCATCAGCTTCCCAATGTGGTCAGTGGTTCCCTTGATGTATGGCAGGAACACTTTTCCTCTGGGTGGATCGTTGTCTTGACTCTCGTGGGTTCTTCTCAGTTGTCTTGCAGCTCTTCTGATGTCTCCAGGCCAATGGAGTCTCCATTGGCCTGGAGAACCCAGTTGAGGTGGTTCAGTTCCTCTTAGAGGAGGTGGGCTTCACAGATTCTGGTCGCTATTCAAGGCAGTTGAGGCTGCTGGGAGTTGAAGTCCAAAACACCTGGAAGACTAGAGTTTGTGGATCATTGTGCTTGATGAAGGGCACAAAGTGCAGTGGAAGCATAAACCCTTTGGAGATGACGCCATCCCTTGCACTTATCTCCTTATATCCAAAATGAATAGCGATGGTACTCATGCGTCCTTTTAGTGGCTTGTTTTTGGGTTGCCTTTCCTGCTCTCCAGACACTCGAAACAAGTCCAGTTTGTCTATGCTTCGCCTTCCATCGCCCCCCATGCCTTTTCATAAGGGGGGGGCAATTAGTTTCACAAATGAGGGCCCCACAGTGCCAGGGTGGATTTGTTCGAGGCCTGCGGTCTCCATTAGCCTATAAAGCCCAATTTAGGTGGTTCAGTTTATCTTGGAGGATGTTGTTTATTTGTTCAGTTGTTTCCGAGGCTTGGTGACCTCTTGGACCATTCCAAGCCAGAGCTCCCTGTCGGCCGTGGCCACCCCCAGCTCCTTCAAGGTCAAGTCAGTCCCTTCAAGGATACCATCCATCCACTTTGTATTCTTGATTGCCCCCTCTTCCTTTTTCCTTCCATTTTCCCCTGCATCATTGTCTTCTCTAAGCTTTCCAGTCTTCTCATGATGTGGCCAAAGTACTTTGCCTCTCATCTCCTTCCCTCCAAAGAGGATGGAGGATAAAGTTTGCATCCCTTTTCCAGGCACTCTCAGAACTTTCCTCTAGCACCACAGTTCAAAAGCACCTATCTTCCTTTGCTCAGCCTTCCCTATGGTCCATCTCTCACATCTATAGGTTACTATGGGGAATGCCATTGCTTTTACTATGCATCTTGGAGGAGTAAAGATCCACCCAGAGGAAAAATGTTCAACCTCTGAGGATGCTTGCCACAGATGCAGGCGAAATGTCAGAAGAGAATGCTTCTAGAATATGGCCAGACCGCCCGAAAAACCTACAACAACTCAATGATTCTGGCCATCAAAGCCTTCGCCAATACGTTATTTATTTTATTTCAGTATTTTTCAGAATCAACCAAGGTAACTTCTTGCTGGAGGGCCAGGTGGAGGGTCTACCCGACCGGCTTCTTCTGTGCCATGAAAACTGGGACCTCTCCTTGGGGATCCTCATCTGCCGACAACTGGGCCACTTCCAGTGAGCAAAACTAGCTTCCCTTCCTTTGCCTTCACCTATAATTTTCTGTAGTGCAATGGGTGAAACCCTTGTGCTGGCAGGACTGCCAACCGAAAGGTCGGCGGTTTGAATCCAGGTAGCGGGGTCAGCTTCAGCTTCTCATGCGAGGACGTGAGAGAAACCTCCCACAAGGATGGCAAAACATCTTGGCAATGTGCCCTGGGCAACGTCCTTGCAGACGGCCAATTCCCTCACACCAGAAATGACTTGCAGTTTCTCAAGTCGCTCCTGACACGTTCCTGGAATTTCCAACCCTTTGATTTAAAATGGTGGGTGACACTCTTTCCCTCCCTGTCCCCCACCGCAGACTCACCCACCACAAAGGGGTCAACCTCACAGATGTGAAGGTGGGCATCACCCAAGAGTTTCTGGAGGTTTCACCCAACTGGAAGGAGAATGCCAACGAGAGATGGCAGATCAGGTGGGTAAACAGGCAGGTAGGCTCTTGGGTCATCAGGTGGAAGGTGAGTCCTCTTTGCTGGGACTTATATCTGGTGGGGTTTTTTGGTCCTTCTACCTTACAGTTATCTTTATATAGAGCTTGGAACATGGTTGGCCAACTGTGTTGTGATCAAGGAAAGTCCTCAACCCTGGACCTCATTTAAATTGAACCAAAACACTGCCGTAGTTTTGTTTGATGGCAGATCAGGTGGGTAAACTAAACAGGCAGGTAGGCTCTTGGGTCAGCAGGTGGAAGGTGAGTCCTCTTTTGGGGCTCAGTCTGAACCCTTACATATGGTTTTTTGGTCCTCCTGCCTTACAATTATCTTTATATAGAGCTTGGAACATGGTTGGCCAACTGTGTTGTGGTCAAAGGGAACTCCTCAACCCTGGACCTCATTTAGGTTGAACCAAAACACTGCCCCAGGTTTGTTCAAACTTGATTTAGGGTTATTTTTTAGCCTATGTTCTTGGAGAAGGGTCCATCATTAGCAAGTGCACATTACTTATGGATTTGGGGGTCATTTGGATGATTTGGGGAGGTGCTTTTCCACCCCATTTTTTGTTATTTGCCCGAGCAACCCCGGGTTTCCACGGCTGAGCTGGGATCTGAACTTGGCTCTTCAGAGTCTTAAAAGAATACTGAACTGATGGGAACTGATATTCAAGCTTTGCAGAGACTTCTTGGAATATTGCCCATAGCTTTAGGCCTGAGGGTCATTTTTCTCTGTGCATCACGGCTTCTAACGGCTGTTTGATTTTGATTTTTCAGGAGAAGATGCTCATCAGGTCGGATCGTGGCCCTTAAATGTTCTGGTAAGTCCTCATCTGAATCATAGAATCCTAGAGTTGGAAAAGACCTCCTGGGCCATCCACTCCATCTCCCTCCTGCCAAGAAGCAGGAAAATCGCGTTCAAAGCACCCCCGATAGATGGCCATCCAGCGTCTGTTTCAAAGCATCCAAAGAAGGAGCCTCCACCACACTCCAGGGCAGAGAGTTCCACTACTGAACAGCTCTCAGTCAGGAAGTTCTTAGATCATAGTATCCTAGAGTTGGAAGAGACCTCGTGTGCCATCCAGTCCAACCCCATTCTACCAAGAAGCAGGAAAATCACATTCAAAACACCCCAGATAGATGGCCATCCAACCTCTGTTTACAAACTTCCAAAGAAGGAGCCTCCACCACACTCCAGGGCAGAGAGTTCCACTGCTGAACAGCTCTCGCAGTCAGGAAGTTCTTCCTCATGTTCAGATGGAATCTCCTCTCTTGTAGTTTGAAGCCATTGTTCCACATCCTAGGGCAGCAGAAAACAAGCTCCCTCCTCCCTATGGCTTCTCCTCACATACTTTTATGCATGGCTATCATGTCTCCTCTCCGCTTTCTCTTCTTCAGGCTAAACATGCCTAGCTCTTTAAGCCGCTCCTCATAGGGCTTGTTCTCCAGATCCTTGATCATTTTAGTTGCCTTCCTCTGGACACATTCCAACTTGTCAACATCTCTCTTGAATTGTGTTGCCCAGAATTGGACACAATATTCCAGGTGTGGTCTAACCAAGGCAGAATAGAGCATGGGGAGCATGACTTCCCTAGATCTAGACACTAGGCTCCTATTGATGCAGGCCAAAATCCCATTGGCTTTTTTTGCCGCCGCATCACATTGTTGGCTCATGTTTAACTTGTTGTCCACAAGGACTCCAAGATCTTTTTCACACGTACTGCTCTCTGATCTGGAAATTGCCCTGTATTGACCCTACTTCCTCTGAAGAAACAGATTGTTCCTATCAGCTTAGATAGAAAATATTTATTTATTTATCACTAGCCGTCCCCTGCCACGCATTGGTGTTGCCCTGTGTGTATATGTGTTTTGTGTGTGTATATGTGTGTTTACGCATATATATGTGGTTTTGCGCATATGTTGTAATGTATTTTTAATTTTTTTTGGCCTTTTCAGTCTCTTCTGTTGTGTTTTTCAGTGTTTTTATGAGTGATGGTCACTCGTTGGCCTGATACATGCATTGTGTCTAAATTTGGTATCAATTTGTCCAGTGGTTTTTGAGTTATGTTAATCCCACAAATTAACATTACATTTTTATTTATATAGACTAGCTGTACCCACCACGCGTTGCTGTGGCCAACCTTCCCTCCCTCTTCCTCTCCTTTCTTTCTCTCCTTCCTTCCCTCCCTCTTTCCTTCCTTCCCTTTCCTTCTCTCCCTGTTTCTTTTCTGGCTTCCTTTGCTCCTTGGTTCCATCCTTCCTTCCTCCTTTCCCTTCCTCTTTCTCTCTTTCATTCCTTTTCTCCTTCCTTCCCTCTTTCACTTTTTTATTTCCATCTCTACCTTTCTTTCCTTTTCTCCTTCCCTCCTTCTTTTCCTCCTTCTCCCTTCTCCTTCCTTCCTTCCTTCCTTCCTTCCTTCCTTCCTTCCTTCCTTCCTTCCTTCCTTCCCCTTTTCTGTGCATGTGTTTTGTGTGTGTATACGTATATATGTGTGCTTGTGTATATATATGTGGGTTGTTGTAGGTTTTTTGGGGCTATATGGCCATGTTCTAGAGGCATTTTCTCCTGACGTTTTCCTTGCATCTATGGCAACCATCCTCAGAGTAAACAATAGAGAGTCAACAATCAGGCACATCTAATCACCTCTCAACAAAAGATTGCCACAGGCACTGCCAGGCTACCAAATGCTAATCAAGGTGGTCAGTTGAAACATTCACACCTAGCTCCAACAGACGAGAGTCCTTTGTCCCACCCTGGTCATTCCACAGATATATAAACCCATTTTCCTACTTTTAACAGACTCTCACTACCTCTGAGGATGCTTGCCATAGATGCAGGCGAAACATCAGGAGAGAATGCCTCTAGAACATGGCCATATAGCCCCAAAAAACCTACAACAACCCAGTGATTCCGGCCATGAAAGCCTTTGACTATATATATATGTGTGTGTGTGTGTGTGCATGCATATATTTTTTGGGGGAGGAGGGTTGGTTTAAGTCTCTTCTGTTGTGTTTTTCAGTTTTTTTTATGAGTGATGGTCACTCTTTGGCCTGATTGGTGTCTTGTGTCCAAATTTGGTGCCAATTTGTCTAGTGGTTTTTGAGTTATATTAATCCCACAAATGAACATTACATTTTTAGTTATATAGATGTCAGAAGCTAGTTGAGGGTAGACAGTGTTGGAAATAGCAACCTTCCAAGCCTTTATTTATTTATTTATTTATTACATTGATATTTCGTCCTTCTCAGCCCGAAAGGGACTCAGGGCTGAGCACAGCATATATACGGCAAACATTGAGTGCCGGGACATGATATCATTAGATGCATAGGTGCATGTCTCATTATTAAAATACACTGTTTGTAAATGTGTATAATGGGTAACCTATATTGTATGTACAGTTTGGCAGTTTAAAGACATGGTTCTTCAGTCTAACAGCTGAGTTACCTGTGTGCCATTACATTAATGCTTGTGAATATCACTTGTTCAGAGGGTTGGCTTCTAACAAGGTCATTATTTTCTTGACTAGTGGTTTTCAAAAGGTGGTCTCCACATGTTCACATTTGCCAAACGGACGTGGCATCATTCTTACCCTTTTCAATAAGGTTATGGCACAGTTAATTCCAATAGGTTATTGAATTTCCAATAGACAGAAGATAGTACTTTCTCAATAAAACTTGGAAAATTGGGACTGTCCTGTTTAGGTCTGGGACGCTAAGTTCTGGTGGAACGAGAGGTGTCTCATTCATTGTCAAAAAATCAGTCTTAATGGAATGAGCACCAAAAAACTAATGTGATGTGGAGAAGACCATGGAGAAGACCCTGGGATGGGACACTCAGATTCTCTCCTTGGAACATCTCAAGAGCTGGGATCTCTCCTCCTCTTTGAGTTCCTTGAAGACTGAGTCTTAGTCTTGCTTCTCTCTTCCTTGCAGAGTGTGGCATGAAGATGCCAGAGACAACTGGAAGGAAGGATCTCCCCTTGGGCCACCAGCCATGGCAGGTTGGCCTCCATCTCAATGGCAAGCGGGTCTGCGGAGGGGCTTTGCTGTCTCATCGATGGATCGTCAGCGCCGCCCACTGCATGGACAGGTAGCCTGGGCTCTAATGGCACAAAAGGCATCGGGTCCTCAGTTCTGGACCAATTTGAGCCCAACAGACCATGATTGTCTTATGGAAAGAAGGTGCTAAAAAGTCATTCGCTTGAAGCAGAACTGGAGACAGTTTGCCAAAAATGATAGTGATGGCACAAAGTAGGATCTGGCCCAACTGGTGGATTTTGAGGCGTTCTGAAGCTCAGCAAAGGTTTCCTGGTAGATGTTTTTTGAACTGATGTTGAGAACTTTGTGTGTTGGTCATGAGATAAAAGCAGGAGAAGGAAAAGAAGCAGAAGTAGTAGCTGAAGCTACAAACAGAACTGCTTCTCTAAAAGGTTCTCTCTCATTACAGGAAAGGAGATTTCACCTCTACATTTGGATGAACTCCATAAGAGCTGTTCAACAATGGAACTCTGCCTTAGAGTATTAATGTGGTAGCCCATTGCTTACTTACATAGGCAATCCCTCGTAGTTCAAGGATAATTGACTTCCAGATGTGGTGTCTTGGCAGTGGGTCCGTAGGTGACCATGGAGCCCTATTCTCGTTCCATATGTTCTCCAGCAGTGAGGACATCAGTTTCCAGACAGAAGGTGGTCCTGGTTGGGGTTTGATACACCTTCCTCTTGGCACATTTCTCCCTTTCACCCTCCGTTTGTGCCTCTTCGAATTCTGCAGCACTGCTGGTCACAGCTGACCTCCAGCTAGAGCACTCAAGGGCCAGGGCTTCCCAGTTCTCGGTGTCTATGCCAGAGTTTGGCTTTGAGTCCATCTTTCAATCTCTTTTCCTGTCCTCCAACATTCTGTTTTCTGTTTTTGAGTCCGGAGTAGAGCAACTGCTTTGGGAGACGGTGGCCAGGCATTCGGACAACATGGCCGGTCCAGCAGACTTGAAGGTGGAGGACCATTGCTTCAATGTTGGTGGTCTTTGCTTCTTCCAGCACGCTGACGTTTGTCCGCCTCTCTTCCCAAGAGATTTGCTGGATTTTTCAGAGGCAGCGCTGATGGAATTGTTTCAGGAGTGGCGAATGACGTCTGTAGACAGTCCACGTTTTGCAGGCGTATAGAAGGGTTGGGAGGACAATGGCTTTATAAACAAGCATCTTGGAATCCCTACGGATGTCCCGGTCCTCAAACACTCTCTGCTTCATTCGGAAGAATGCTGCACTCGCAGAGCTCAGGTGGTGTTGTATTTCAGTGTCAATGTTGACTTTTGTGGAGTGGTGGCCACCAAGGGAGTGGAAATGGCCAACATTTCCTACTGTTACACCATTAAGCTGTATTTCTGGCATTGAAGAGGGAATGGCTAGTGACTGCTGGAACAGCACTTTGGCTTTTCTCAATGTTCAATGACAGGCCAAACTTCTTTTATGCTTCTCGTAAGCCCATTGCACAGTCCTAGTAGCCATTCTGCATGTGTATCAAATTAGAAGTCCATCCATTCCTTGACATTTTGTGGGTCTAGCTTTTGCTGATTTGATTAATGTTGTCTCTTTTGGCATCTCTAGGTTCTGGTACAATTTTTGGCATAACCAAATCCACAAGGAAGCAAAGAAAAAGCCACTGGCACATAACCACTTTTGTTTTCTTCCTTCCATTCTAGTCCTCCTAACATTTCCAACTGGGTGGCCTTGGTAGGGCTTGGTCTCCCTGCCAGAAGCAAAGAAGAGGCTGGACAAGCGATGGACAAAATAATCCTCCACCCCAGCTACAACCCTGTGAACCATGACTACGACCTCGCCATGCTGAAGCTCAAGGAGCCACTGAGTCTCTCAGGTGGGTTTTGGCCAACCTTAGAGGCCTCTCAAGGGGAAAGACTTAGGATATGATGGTAGAAGATGTCCTAGAGATTCGGGGTAGAATCTTCCCTGTGGGTGCAGGATGCCTTGAATGCATGTCATACCAGAAGAACTAGATGAACATCTCAAGGTGGGAAAACAAAAGGAGCTCTCACACCAAGTGTTGACCTTTTGGGGTGGTCCAAATCAGTGTTGCTCAACCTTCCTAATGCCACAACCCCTGAATACAATTCTTCATATTGTGGTGACCACCAACCATAACATTATTTTCGTTGCTATGTCATAACTGTAATTTTGCTACTTCTCTGAATCGTCATGTAAATATCTGATATGCAGAATGTATTTGGTCCAAATACCCCATACGCCCACATTTGAATACTTGTGGGGTTGGGGGGGGGGTGTATTTTGCATTTGGGAGTTGTAATTGCTGGGATGGGATTTATAGTTCACCTACAATCAAAGAGCATTTTGAACTCCACCAACAATGGAATTGAACCAATCTTGGCACACAGAACTCCCATGCCCAACGGAAAATACTGGAAGGGTTTGGTGGGCATTGCCCTTGAGTTTTAGAGTTGTAGTCCACCTACATTCGGAAAGCACTGTAGACTCAAACAATAATGGATCTGGACCAAACTTAAGACCCAAATGTAACTGATGGAATTTGGGGAAATAAAACTTGACATTTGAGTTGTAGTTGCTTGGAGATTTATAGTTCACCTACAATCAAAGAGCACTGAACCCAGACAATTAATCTGGACCAAACTTGGCACAAATACTCAATATGCCCAAATGTGAACACTGGTGAAATTTGGGGAAAATAGACCTTGACATTTGGGAGTTGTAGTTGCTGGGATTTATAGTTCACCTACAATCAAAGAGCATTCTGAACTCACCAATGATGGATCTGCACCAAACTTGGCACAAATACTCAATATTCCCAAATGTGAACACTGGTGAAATTTGGGGAAAATAGACCTTGACGTTTGGGAGTTGTAGTTGCTGGGATTTATAGTTCACCTACAATCAAAGAGCACTCTGAACCCAGCCCACAATGGATCTGCACCAAACTTGGCACAAATACTCAATATACCCAAATGTGAACACTGGTGAAATTTGGGGAAAATAGACCTTGACGTTTGGGAGTTGTAGTTGCTGGGATTTATAGTTCACCTACAATCAAAGAGCACTCTGAACCCAGCCCACAATGGATCTGCACCAAACTTGGCACAAATACTCAATATTCCCAAATGTGAACACTGGGAATTTGGGGAAAATAGACCTTGACGTTTGGGAGTTGTAGTTGCTGGGATTTATAGTTCACCTACAATCAAAGAGCACTCTGAACCCAGCCCACAATGGATCTGCACCAAACTTGGCACAAATACTCAATATACCCAAATGTGAACACTGGTGAAATTTGGGGAAAATAGACCTTGACGTTTGGGAGTTGTAGTTGCTGGGATTTATAGTTCACCTACAATCAAAGAACATTGTGAACCCCACCAATGACAGAATTGGGCCAAACTTCCCACACTGAAGCCCCATGACAAGCAGAAAATACTGTGTTTTCTGATCCCTCTGACACCCCCTTCGCAACCCTCCCAGGAGTCCCGACCCCCCAGGTTGAGAAATGACGGTCCAAATGGCCACAGGGTGTTCCTTCCTCTTCCCAGATGCCATCCGGGCTGTTTGTCTGCCTCGCTACCATCAGGACGTCTCCAATGGCAGCACCTGTTGGATCTCAGGCCAGGTCTATCCAAGACAAGAGAACTGTAAGTCACTTAAAGGACAACCAAGGAAGATGTATTGTTGAAGGCTTTTACGGCCGGAATCACTGGGTTGTTGCCGGTTTTCCAGGCTGTATGGCCATGTTCTAGAAGCATTCTCTCCTGACATTCCACCTGCATCTGTGGCAAGCATCCTCAGAGGTTGTGAGGTTTGTCAGAGATGCAGGCGAAGCATCAGGAGAGAATGCTTCTAGAACATGGCCATACAGCCCGAAAAACCTACAACAACCCAAACCATGAAGAATTATGATATTTGATTTTGCTAGAAATAGATAGAATTAAAGGAGTTGTACGAGTTGTAATCAGTGAGGGGGCCTTTTCATAGAATCATAGAATCAAAGAGTTGGAAGAGACCTCATGGGCCATCCAGTCCAACCCCATTCTGCCAAGAAGCAGGAATATTGCATTCAAATCACCCCTGACAGATGGCCATCCAGCCTCTGCTTAAAAGCTTCCAAAGAAGGAGCCTCCACCACACTCCGGGGCAGAGAGTTCCACTGCTGAACGGCTCTCACAGTCAGGAAGTTCTTCCTCATGTTCAGATGGAATCTCCTCTCTTGTAGTTTGAAGCCATTGTTCCATGTGTCCTAGTCTCCAGGGAAGCAGAAAACAAGCTTGCTCCCTCCTCCTCCCTGTGGCTTCCTCTCACATATTTATACATGGCTATCATATCTCCTCTCAGCCTTCTCTTCTGCAGGCTAAACATGCCCAGCTCCTTAAGCCGCTCCTCATAGGGCTTGTTCTCCAGACCCTTGATCATTTTAATCTCCCTCCTCTGGACACATTCCAGCTTGTCAATATCAGCATTGCATTCAGATTTGCCTAGAAATTGAAAATATTTTCATCTCTGGGAAAATCCAACTGCCTCCATTTAATTCCTTTGTATCTCTATTTTTTCCAGCCACGGTTCCTATTGCTGAGATGTGGGTGGAAATGCCAGTGGTCCTACAAAGCCCCAAGGATTGCAACGGCTCCTGCGGAGATGCGGGGAAAATCACCCCGAGGATGCTGTGCGCCCATTATTTGGATGGCACCATTGGTGCCTGCAAGGTAAATAAGAATAAGACCATGGTGTTTGCAAATTGTGCAGGTGTTTCACCTAGAATCGGGGACTCTATTGTGAAGGGGATGTTGGGGTCATCCAGCCAGACCCAAGCCCAGCTTCCTGATCATTCTAGCTCAGGAGTTGCATCGGGACTGTGGCGCAGCTGGCTGGGAGTCAGCTGCATTAAGTAGATGGGTTGCTTACCTGTAACCATGTTTCCTCTAGTGGTACCTGTGAAATCCACACATATATGGGTTTCTGCACCTGCGCAGACAGTTTTGGAACTTTCTGGAATTTAAAAGATACTTATTGGCGATAGCCCCGCCCATTCTCCCCTGATAACATAGCTCCAGTTCCTCAGCCGCAGTGAAGCAGCCCAGAATACTGGAGTATGACGTCCTGTGGGGAGGATGGGCGGGGATGTGTGGATTTCACAGGTACCACTAGAGGAAACACAGTTACAGGTAAGCAACCCATCTTTCCTCTGTGTGGTCCTGTGAAATGCACACATATATGGGTGACTTGCAAGCTATCAACCTTGGAGGTGGGCGTCATGCCACACACGAAAACAGCACTGCTCTCCCGAAGGCAGCGTCTCTTTTGGACAGGACATCCACCTTGTAATGGCTGACGAAGGTGGAAGGAGTCGCCCAGGTGGCTGCACGGCAGATGTCTTCAATAGGGATTCCTTTGAGACATGCTCGCGATGCAGCCACAGATCTATTTTTCCCCACACGGGGAGCATTTTTTAAAGACAGCCGCCATTGTTAAAACAAAAGAGGAGGGTCAATACAAGCCTGAGAGTCGTCAAACCGTCCGGGGTCAATCGGATGGGAGTCAACAGAGTCCAAATCAGTAAGCCAAGAGTGGTCAAAGTCCAGTCAGAGTCCAAAAACTGTATTTAAAAGAACGAAGCTAATACAAAAACGGAGGAAAGTTCCTAACTGCTGCTGCTTACGGCGGAAAAAAAGAACTAGAGCGGCAACCCCGCCTATTTATGTTATCGGGAGAATGGGCGGGGCTACTGCCAAAAAGTATCTTTTAAATTCAGTCAGAGTCCAAAAACTCTATTTAAAAGAACGAGGCTAATACAAAAACGGAGGAAAGTTCCTAACTGCTGCTGCTTACGGCGGAAAAAAAGAACTAGAGCGGCAACCCTGCCTATTTATGTTATCGGGAGAATGGGTGGGGCTACCGCCAAAAAGTATCTTTCAAATTCCAGAAAGTCCCAAAACTGTCTGCGCAGGTGGAGAAACCTATATGTGTGTATTTCACAGGACCACGCAGAGGAACACTACTGACTGAAAGGTCATGAGTTTGAAGCCAGCCCAGGTCGGAGTGAGCTTCCGACCAATTTGTGTAGCTTGCTGTCGACCTTTGCAGCCCAAAAGACAGTTGCATCTGTCAAGGAGGAAATTTAAGTACCGCTTAGAAAGGGAGAATAATTTAACTAATTTATGAGGTCATAAAAATCTCCAGTAAGCATGCAAAGAATGAGGAAGCACTTCATCAGTGTCACAAACGGACGGTGAAGCGACAGCTCTCCTGGTGGCCAGAATACCCTCATGAAAAAGCTGGAATGTTAAATAGCCTCTATATATGTTGTGTGTCTATGGCATTCAATGTTTGCCATGTATATGTACATTGTAATCTGCCCTGAGTCCCCTGCAGAGTGAGAAGGGCAGAATAGAAATACTGTAAATAAATAAATAAAATTGTTTCAGAAACCATTTACATAAACACAGGAGGCATCACACTTTTGCAGGGGTGAAGCCCAATGCTCCAACCACTATGCAGCTCTGCCTCTCTAATTAAAAGGCAGGATTGTAAGAAACAGGCATTGCAATTAAAAGTGGCATCATAGTGCCATCGCTGGAAGGCTCCCCGGACATCAACATGCCTCTCGTGTCTTCTTTCGCAGGGAGAAAGTGGCGGTGCACTGGTTTGCCAGCATGAGCGCATGCATTTAGTGGGCGTCGGAATCCAGGACGATGGGTGCAAACAGACAAACAGGCCTGGACTTTATACAAAAGTGGTGTCACTTCTGGACTGGATCCATCGCATCATGGAAGCGGATTAAGATTGAGTTGGACGAGCAAGCATTGGCCAACTTTGGTCCTCCAGGGGTTTTGGACTTCAACGCTGAAGCTGCAAGGCTGTTCAATGTTAATCAAGGTGGCCAATTGCAACCTTCACGCTTCCCTCCAACAGACTAGCGTTCTTTCTCCCACCTTCCAACAAAGGATTCCCCCAGGCAGGAAGCAGCCAACCTTTGATGCTGCAAGGCCGTTCAATGCTAATCAAGGTGGCCAATTGCAGCATTCACACTTGCCTCCAATGGACAAGAGTTCTTTCTCCCACCTCCCAACAAAGGATTCCCCCAGGCAGGAAGCAGCCAACCTTTGAAGCTGCAAGGCCATTCAATGCTAATCAAGCTGGCCAATTGCAACATTCACACTTGCCTCCAATGGACAGGAGTTCTTTCTCCCACCTCCCAACAAAGGATTCCCCCAGGCAGGAAGCAGCCAAGCTCTGAAGCTGCAAGGCCATTCAATTCTAATCAAGCTGGCCAATTGCAACATTCACACTTCCCTCCAACAGGCAAAGAGGTTTTTCTCCCACCTTCCAACAAAGGATCCCCCCAGGCAGGAAGCAGCCAACCTTTGAAGCTGCAAGGCCATTCAATGCTAATCAAGCTGGCCAATTGCAATATTCACACTTCCCTCCAACAGACAAAGAGTTCTTTCTCCCACCTTGGACATCATTCTACAGATATATAAACCCAATTTTCCTAGTTTCCAACAGACCTCTCAACCTCTGAGGATGCCTGCCATAGATGTGGGTGAAACGTCAGGAGAGAATGCTTCTAGAACATGACTAGACAGCCCGGAAAACTCACCGCAACCCAATGATTCCAGCCATGAAAGCCTTCGACAGGACTTTGGGATCAAGGGTTGGGGAGACGGTGAGGTCGGAGGAGTGGGTCGGCAGGCAGTGAGAAAAAGACACAAAGGAAAAGGAAGTCTTTTATTATTATTGTTATTACTATTAAAACTACTTGATTCTCGCCAAGGCGGCCGCCCTCCGCTCCGTGTTCTGGAACAAGGCTCGGATCAGGTTCTTGACCTCCGTCGCAGGGAACGCGGCCGCGAGAGGGCCCTTGCCGTCAGCCCACCTGGGAAAGAGAGAGAGGAGATGGCGGAGGGGCAGTTAGGAGGTGCGAAAAAGACGAAAGGGAAAGCATTCTAGGTCCTTAGTGAGGGCCCCAAACCCTTTGGCTGTGACATTCTGGTGGCCATTAAAAATATAGACTCTAAGCTGGAATGTGTCCAGAGGAGGGCGACTCAAATGATCAAGGGTCTGGAGAACAAGCCCTATGAGGAGCGGCTTAAGGAGCTGGGCATGTTTAGCCTGAAGAAGAGAAGGCTGAGAGGAGACATGGTGAGGGCCACTTGGAGTGCCTCTGGTGTTGCCACAAGAAGGTCCTCCATTGTGCATCATGTGGCAGGGCTCAGGGTGCATTGCAGCAGGTGGTCAGTGGTTGGCTCTTCTCCACACTCGCATGTTGAGGATTCCACTTTGTGGCCCCATTTCTGAAGCCTGGCTCTGCATCTCGTGGTGCCAGAGCACAGTCCGTTCAGCACCTTCCAAGTCGCTGGTATCAGCCATTGGTTGAGGTTCTGGGTTTGAGCCTGCCACTTTTGGACTCTCGCTTGCTGAGTTCCAGCGAGTGTCTCTGTAGATCTTAGAAAACTATTTCTTGATTTAAGTCGTTGACGTGCTGGCTGATACTCAAACAGGGGATGAGCTGGAGATGTCTCTGCCTTGGTCCTTTCACTATTGGCTGCTACTTCCCGGCGGATGTCAGGTGGTGCAATACCGGCTAAGCAGTGTAATTTCTCCAGTGGTGTAGGGTGCAGGCACCCCGTGATAATGCGGCATGTCTCATTAAGAAGCAGAAGTGACCCCCATACTTAAGACCATCCAGTCCAACTCCCTTCACCAGGGCAAGAAAACATAGCCAAAGCCCTCTTACTTTTCCAAATCACTAGACTGGGCCACAGCAACCCCTGGCAGGGGACGGCTAGTAAATAAATAAATATGGTTTTCTGTGGGCGACCAGGTGGCACCATCTACTGGATGGCATATGTTCTGTATCAGGAACTAGAGCTGATGTGGTCTATCCAATGCAATTTTCTGAATCAGCACTCCAAACAACCTAACCCAATCTAAAGTTGACCAAAACCTGATCCGTAACCCTTTTGGTACTAATGCTGGAGAGCGGTCCCTGGTCAACAAAAGGTTGGGAACCACTGCAGTGTATTTCAAAGGAAGCGGTAAATCCAACACTTGAGTATTTCTTGCCTCAAGAAACCCTGTGGAGTTTACAGGGTCTCCATTAGGGCTGGGCGGTTTCGTTTCGTTAATTCGTAATTCGTTAATAATTCATTAATTTTTTCAATTACAAAACGATAACGAACCATTCTGGAGCAATTATTAAAAAAAACGAATTTTCAAAAACGTTTTGTAAATGCTTCGTATTTCGATATTGTATTCATTTCGTTATTGTTTTGAGGTCGTTTCGTTATTATTTCCGCATGTCTGGGCCAGTTTTATGGTTTAATTAGTGAAAAAAAAATTATAATATCACACCAACAGTCAACAACAGAGGGAGAGGGAAGCTTCAGAAGGTTTTGGAGGTTTTTTAGCGTATTTCGCGGTCGCGTCCGCCATCAACGAATCGATTCGTTATTGTTTCGGAAATCGATTCGTTAATTTTTTACCATTTACGAAATTTCGTAAATATCGAACTTTTTAAAAGGAAAATTTTGTAATTATTTTAAATATCGAAACAAAAAAACCCCCCAAATACAAATCGATTTTAGAAGCAAATTTTTCCGTTGTTACCCAGGCCTAGTCTCTATATGTCCATACGTGATTAGAATGTGCAAATACAATGGAGGCCATAAGGAAGAACATTCCCAGGGCTGTTCTTCAAGGCCACATCCTCCCCATCCTTGCAGGGCATCCCATGAGGCACTCACCTGTCCACGATCTCTTGGAGGCTGGCCTGCAGCACCAGCATGAGCTCCTTGAAGGTCATCCACTTCGGGACGTAGACGGGGACCTCCTCCTGGAAGGGACGGTTCTGCTCCTCTTCCGGAAGGGGCACAAACACCCGGGGGCCCTCATCCACCATGATCTGGCACAAGTCGTGCAGCCGGTCGGCGTTCTCTGCAGAGATGTCCTGCCCCAGGATTGAGCAAAAGCACTGTGAGCGAGGCCAATCCTTGCCTTTGGTGTGGTCTCTATTCAAGTTTATTCAGCTCGAACTCTTACAGAAGTCACCTAAAGCTTCCCCCTCATTTCCTGTCAACAGGTGAGCTCTGACCTTTTCCAAGTCTCAGGTTCAGGGCGCTTTCACTCAAGAAGAAAAAACAATATCTTACACTAGGTTCTTGTGGGTTTTTTCGGGCTATAGGGCCATGTTCTAGAGGCATTTCTCTTGACGTTTCGCCTGCATCTATGGCAAGCATCCTCAGAGGCTACCAGTACAAAAACAACTACCTCTGAGGATGCTTGCCATAGATGCAGGCGAAACGTCAGGAGAAATGCCTCTAGAACATGGCCCTATAGCCCGAAAAAACCCACAAGAACCTAGTGATTCCAGCATGAAAGCCTTCGACAATATCTTACATTTTCCTGCATTCCTTAGGAGAATAGACAAGAGTTGTTTTGGGGGATTACAACTCACATCATCCCCCATCCACCCTTCAAAAGGTGCACTGTGGGTTTCTCCAAGGCTTGCCTTCAGGCTTCCAAATAAGAATGAAGAGCCTTTATCTCGATCCCTGATGGCGAACCTATGACACGTGTGTCAGCACTGACATGCGTAGCCACTTTTAATGGCACGCGGCAGCATGTGGCCGCATACAGAGAAGTATGGGGCTGCATGCCAGGTGCAGTAGCCGAGGACGAAACATTTGCTGTATTGTATTGTAGTCACTCTGTACCGGAGGTGTGTAGGCCAATACAACAGAACTCCGGCACAGAGCATCTAGTTCTGGGACTTCCAGTTAGGCTGTTAGAGAATCTTTGATCTCACTTCTGGCTGGTGGAGCAGGGAGCCGCATAATGCCGCGGGGGATGCATCTCTGGGGGCCATGTGATCGCCATTACCACCAACCACATAAGCACAGCAACCATCATCCAATATACTGTTCTAGGGTGTTGTGGATTTCTAATTGACCATCATTACTGAGATAAGTGAGGGGGAAGCTGGAAGAGGCAAGGGCCTGTGCTATGGGTGCCATTTCCCACCATTAGAAATAGCGGCAGCCATCTTAATTTACATAAACAATGCCATCTTGCAGCATAGTACAGACTCCATTTCACCACTATTACTGTTGTGCATCCTTATGAACCCCTATTTCTGATTATTAACCCATCTTGTGGTCCATTTGGCTAGTTATCCCCTAATTGCCTAAAGTTATACTGTATATTGAAATTATACATTTTTGTTATTTAAACTTTAGATATCATGAAATTATTAAAGGGGGGGGGGTTCTTAAAGTGACACACTACCCAAGTTATGCTCAGCTTTTGGGCAAATTTTGACACACCAAGCTCAAAAGGTTGCCCATCACTGATCTAGATGATTGTCTGAACTCCTCAGCAGAATACATAGAAATTATTTTTTGGGACTCTAACTTCCATCAATGCCTTTCTGGCTGAAGCCCTGAAGAGCAACTTTTCCGAGCGCTGTCTTTAGAAACACATTATTATTATTATTATTATTATTATTATTATTATTATTATTATTATTATGTTACCTAATTGTGACCATAATAATAATAATAATAATAATAATAATAATAATAAAGTAAAGGTTTTCCCCTGACATTAAGTCCAGTTGTGTCCGACTCTGGGGTGTAGTGCTCATCTCCATTTCTAAGCCGAAGAGCCGGCGTTGTCCGTAGACACCTCCAAGGTCATGTGGCCAGCATGACTGCATGGAGCAACGTAATTGTTGTTGTTGTTGTTATTATTATTATTCCAGAATATCATTATTTTTATTACTTTGCAGTCTTCTCCATGGCCAAAGTGTCATCATCATCATTCCACAGTGTCATTACTACTACTACTACTACTACTACTACTATTACTTTGCAGTCTTCTGCATGGCCAAAGTGTCATCATCATCATCATCATCATTCCACAGTGTCATTACTACTACTACTACTACTACTACTATTACTTTGCAGTCTTCTCCATGGCCAAAGTGTCATCATCATCATCATCATCATCATCATCATTCCACAGTGTCATTACTACTACTACTACTACTACTACTATTACTTTGCAGTCTTCTCCATGGCCAAAGTGTCATCATCATCATCATCATTCCACAGTGTCATTACTACTACTACTACTACTACTACTATTACTTTGCAGTCTTCTGCATGGCCAAAGTGTCATCATCATCATCATCATCATTCCAGTGTCATTACTACTACTACTACTACTACTACTTCCGGTTCCGGGGGGATGGCGGCTAGCAGCGACAACGCTGAGCTGCACAACCCAAGAACGCAGAATCCTAGGGAATCCTAGGAATCCTCCCCCCTTCCAGACCATCAGGATTGGGGAGAGTGAGACTGGCACCAGAGCGAGGGGTTGAGCCCGGAAAGAGCCCGAAAGAGCCCGAAATAGAGCGCTGAGAGGAGGAGGAGGCTGAGAGGCGAAGGTAGGAAGTGAAGAAAGGGAGCGCCGCCATTACAACCACGGCTGGCTCTCCCTAAGAAGGAACCTACCTTCGCCGCCGCTGCTGTTGGCCCTCGGGAGGGTGGACTGCCGCCGATCTTGGAAACGGCTGGTGTCGGGCCCAGCCGCCGCCGTCGCCGGGGCCTAGCCGCGGCTGCCGGCTAAGTAGCCCGGCGTGGGTCCCCTCCATAGCCGCCATCTTGTCTTTTGCTGAGGCTGCCGCGGCTGGGAAAAGTCGCCATCCGCCGCCGCCGCTGGGTCGCGGGACCATCGGGCTGGGCTGCGGGACCTCCGGGCCACGGCTCGCCTGACCACCGCTGCGGCCTGGCCACAGCCCGCTGCGGCCTGGCCATAACCCGCTACAGCTGCCGCCGGAGCGGGACGGAGGCGGTGTGTGGAGCTGTTGCGGTCGCCATTTGCGTCTCGCTTCTCCACTAGCGCCGCCGTTCCTCCATTGTTGCGGGGTCCGGACCATCGCTGGGGGCCAGGGCCGAGCCAGGGCATCTCGCGTGGCCATCATCGCTGCTGCCCTTTCACCGTCGCCATCACGACCGGCCCCGCTGGGCCACAGAGAACGCCGCGGCTGCTGAGGCCGCCATCTTGGGCGCCCCGCCCTATCCTCGCGGCCGCGGTTGCGACCGGACCACCGTCGAGGTCGTTGGGCCGAACCAGGGACCGGGGAACGCCGTGGCGATTGTGGACGCCATCTGAGCGCCTGCCTCATCATCGCCGCCCCTTTGTCACCACTGCAGCTGCGGAGCCGCCGCGGGGCCGCTGGACCATCGCGGCCGCCTTCCATTGCGGCCATCACCATCTGGCCTTCCATCGCGGCCATTACCATCTGGCCCGCCGCTCTGCTATAGTTGCTGGATCGTGCCTTGCCAACTTGGATCTCTCAGAGCTTCATCTTCCCGGCGTGGGCTGCTGCGGGGTGGCTAGGCCGCTGGGCCGCTGGGCCGCTCCACCCTCGGACTAACCCGCCTTGTCCTCCATCCTCAAGCGAGCTTCCAGTATCGGGCGAGCCTGCCCCGCCACCTTCCTCCATCTTCGGGCGAGTCCATCCGCCGGCGCAGAGGCCAACCGACCTTTGTGCAGACCGCTTTGCTGACCATCTTTGTGCAGACCGCTTTGCTGACCATCTTTGTGCAGACCGCTTTGCTGACCATCTTTTGTAGTTTTTACTGACCATCTTGTGTAGTCTCTGTGTAGATCTTTAAGCTGGCTTATTGCTGTTATTTACTGAGCAAGAGTGTGACCGAATATCTATGCTGCCCCACCCCCGAGTTATCAACTCCGGAAGCCTATCCGCTGGGTTACCAACCGTCCAGAGACTCGCCGGGGTCATAGCAATATTTAACTAATTACCACCATTACCATCCATAAGGGGTAGTCGTACCATACTAACTAGTACACCCCTGGTAGTCATTTGTACCATCTGTCGTTACTGTAATAAGAACGATATAGAACACTTAGGCGCCTGCCATTGCTGCTAGATTGCACCAGCACTTTCGCCCTCCCTTGTCCCTCTGTGCCGCACTTTATTATCGTTAAGTAGAGCACTTTAGACCTAGCACTTTATTAATGTGCCTTCGAACGTGTGTTGCTGCTAACTAATTACGATCAATTACGATCACTAACGGACTGCTCCAAAATCTTTGCACTGTAAGAACTGCTCCACTGAAGCTGTCGGAACACCGACCGCCATTTGTATAGCTGCTACCCATGTGGTCCCCTGCCCCCCTTTGTGTATTGTTGCTGCTGTTTGGGTGCAACGGTGGGGGCAGGAAAGGAGGGGGCCTGGAGCCTGTGATTGAGAATGTGGTGGGGAGGGGGGAGGAGGGGGAGGGGAGATGCTGGCAAGAACCAATACATCTAACGACAACCGTAGGAGATAGTATTCTCATAGCCCGGGACTGCGGCATGGAGGGGGGGAGGTGTTCCACTAGCCGAGGGGCCCCCATAGAGGGCGTGGTGGGAAGGAGGAGATGCGGGAGAAGGAGACCTCGAATTCGGCCTAATTCGGACCGCTTATCTAAATTAACTATTCCCAAAAGGTCTCCTAAGGTAAATTGGTGTAACCAGGTGAGCGGGCCCTCCGGCTTGAAGGTGGTGTTGTTGAACGCCAGGTCTGTCAACGGAAAAACAACTTGGATCCAGGACTTAATCCTGGAGGAGCGGGCAGATCTGGCGTGCATCACGGAGACCTGGCTGGATGAAGCGGGGGGCGTAAACCTCTCCCAGCTCTGTCCTCCAGGTTTCTCCGTGCAACACCAACCAAGAGCCGGAGGACGGGGAGGCGGGGTCGCAGTGGTCTATAGAGATTCCATCCATCTGACCAGGAGTCCCATCCGCAGACCACAAATTTTGAATGCGTCCACCTGAGGGTGGGTGACCGGGACAGAATAGGGATTCTGTTAGTGTACCGTCCACCTCGCTGCACTACAGTCTCCCTACCTGAGCTAGCGGGGGTGGTCTCGAGCCTGGCGTTGGAGTCTCAACGGCTTCTTGTGCTGGGGGACTTCAACATCCATGCCGAGGCAACCCTCACAGGAGCGGCTCAGGACTTCATGTCCGCCATGGCAACCATGGGGCTGTCCCAACAAATAACTGGCCCCACCCACTGTGCTGGACACACATTGGACTTGGTTTTCTGTCAGGGATGGGAGCAGGGTGGCGGTGTGGAGGAGGTGTCTATCTCTCCGTTGCCATGGATACTACTACTACTACTACTACTATTACTTTGCAGTCTTCTGCATGGCCAAAGTGTCATCATCATCATCATCATCATTCCAGTGTCATTACTACTACTACTACTACTATTACTTTGCAGTCTTCTCCATGGCCAAAGTGTCATCATCATCATCATCATCATCATCATCATTCCACAGTGTCATTACTACTACTACTACTACTACTACTACTATTACTTTGCAGTCTTCTCCATGGCCAAAGTGTCATCATCATCATCATCATTCCACAGTGTCATTACTACTACTACTACTACTACTACTACTATTACTTTGCAGTCTTCTGCATGGCCAAAGTGTTGTTGTTGTTGTTACAGAGTATTATTATTATTATTATTATTATTATTATTATTATTATTATTATTATTATTATTATTATTATTATTTATATCCTGTGTTGTCAAAGGCTTTAATGGCCGGAATCACTGCGTTGCTGTGAGTTTTCCAGGCTGCCTGGCCATGTTCCAGAAACATTACCTGACATTTTCCCCACATCTATGGCAGGCATCCTCAGAGGTTGTGAGGTCTGTTGGAAGCTAAGCCAGGGAGGTTTATATATCTGTGGAGGTTCTAGGTGTAATTGTTGAAATTAATCAACTTGATTAGCAATGCAAAGCATGTGGACAATTTCAACAGAAAGGAGGAAACCTTGAAAATGAACAAAATGTGGCTATCAGTATTTAAAAACTCCAAAATCAGGACAGTAAATAAAGAGCAACACTCAAAAACAAGGGAATTTCCAGACAATCAGGGACAGCTAATCACCTCCCAACAAAGGATTCCCCCAGGAAGGAAGCAGCCAGGCCTTGAAGCTGCAACGCTTTGAAATGCTAATCAAAGTGATTAGTTGAAAGTATTGTCAAAGGGTTTCATGGCCAGAAACACTGGGTTGTTGTAGGGTTTTTTGGGCTATATGGCCATGTTCTAGAAGCATTCTCTCCTGACGTTTTGCCTACATCTATGGCAAGCATCCTCAGAGGTAGTGAGGTTAGCTGAAACATTCACACTTACCTCCAACAGACAATAGTTACTTCTTCCACCCTGGACATTATTCCATAGATAATAAACCTCCCTTGTCCTAGTTTCCAACAGACTTCACAACCTCTGAGGATGCCTGCCAGAGATGTGGGTGAAAATTCAGGAGAGAATGCTTCTGGAACATGACCAGATAGTCCAGAAAGGTTTTACAGTCCACTCTTTCCAGGATAATTTCTGAATCCCTGATGCAGAGATAAGGCTCGTTGCTTGCTCACCCCTCACCTCCAAGGATGTGATCCTGCTCAAGATCTCGGTGAGGGCCAGGTTCAGGAGGGTCCCCATGGCCTTGCAGTAGACGTTTGTGGGAAGGACGTCCTGCCAGACTTTGCCCAGTCTCCTCAGCTGGTGCAGCACCTAGGAAGGAACGGAACTGTTTGAGGTCCACAAGGTAGACAATTCTCATGTTGCCAGAAATGTCATGCAGCTGGGGCCAAGAGGATAGTTTGGAAAGCTATGCATGTTGCAGGACTTCCATCAGGCGGAGCCGGGGAAAACAACGGAAAGCAGGAGGGGGATAATTTCTGCACATGGAATTGTCTCCTTCACATGGGATTCCGTCTTTAAAGAAGACAGAGAATGTCCTGACCCCCATCACACAGGGTCACCTCTCCTGCCTCAACCATCCACTTAAGAGTAACACTCTCTTCCTCCTCCTCCCCAGCCTTACTGACCTGTCGCAGAGCTTTGTTTGCGGCGGAGTAGTTCTCCTCGTCGTCCACGTTGGAGAAGTTCCTTGCGCTTGAGAGCCTCTCCAAGAGCTCCTCCTTCTGCACCTGCATCTGGGCCAGGAAACACTCCGTTCCTGAGGAGAGGCAGAGGCAGGGATGTTTCAGACTGGGGTAGCTCTGGATGCAGAGCCCCAAAGACTGCCTCCTAAACCTCTGAACTGTCTCTAAATCTACTTCTTGCGATCTGAGATATGTGCCTGCAGAACTGTTGTGGTGTGCCTTCAAGTCATTTCAGACTTAAGCTATCTCACATGAGGCTTCTCTCACACTCCTCCGGATGACACTAGCTTTGGCTCACTGGCTCTAACAGGCTCCGGCCTACAAACTCTCCTTAGGAAACAAACGCCTGCTCCAGGCTCACCAAGCTTCCGGAAGCCGGGCACCAGATCCACAAAGGTGGCTGTCCGGTCGTTGAGGTAGCCCTGGAACTGGTGGCCCAGGGTCAGCAGATGGTGTGCGATGTACATGCAGTTGTTATGGTGGATGGCTGCCAGTTGGGGAAGCTTCTGGAGGTTCTCCCTAAGCAAGAAAGAGGTAAAACTTCAGCAAGTATTGGCAAATAATTTGTTTCCGTCATGATCTTCTGAACAATAGCTAGCTAAAGAGGACAAACCTGCTATTTTTGCACCAGTGATGGCTGGGGAACCTTTTGTAATATAGTCAAGCAAATGCAATGGCTCTGAAATTGTTCTTTGGAAATTGACCCCCCCCCCCTTTAATACAACAACAAGAGGCCAAAAAGTATAAGTATTTTAAGTAGGGCTGGGCGGTTTCGTTTCGTTAATTCGTAATTCGTTAATAATTCGTTAATTTTTTCAATTACAAAACGATAACGAACCATTCTGGAGCAATTATTAAAAAAAACGAATTTTCAAAAACGTTTTGTAAATGCTTCGTATTTCGATATTGTATTCGTTTCGTTATTGTTTTGAGGTCGTTTCGTTATTATTTCCGCATGTCTGGGCCAGTTTTATGGTTTAATTAGTGAAAAAAATTATAATATCACACCAATAGTCAACAACAGAGGGAGAGGGAAGCTTCAGAAGGTTTTGGAGGTTTTTTAGCGTATTTCGCGGTCGCGCCCGCCATTAACGAATCGATTCGTTATTGTTTCGGAAATCGATTCGTTAATTTTTTACCATTTACGAAATTTCGTAAATATCGAACTTTTTAAAAGGAAAATTTTGTAATTATTTTAAATATCGAAAAAAAAAAAAAACCCAAATACAAATCGATTTTAGAAACAAATTTTTCCGTTGTTACCCAGGCCTAGTATTTAGAGCTGAGTCTCAGCCAAGTTCAGCCCCAGCCTAACTCCAAACATTCCTGGGAGGATTAATCCAATCATTTATATTGGTTTGGCAGGATACTGCCCCCCTCCCCAGGCCAGTTCTTTTGGCGATTACACTGCTCTGTCAACCATCTGCCCAGTTGAATAAACCTGTTATTCCCTTCAAACTTGGTTATGTTGTTCCTGGCTTTCGAAGTAGCATGGTGTGCAGGCATCTAGACTGCTCCCTGGTGGCAGATAGCTTATTTGGGTAACACAGTGATGCAGAAAGAACTACTTTGGCAAAGGATTGTGATGGACATAGCGTATATACTTGAGTATAAGCCGGCCCCAGTATAAGCCAAGGGACCTAATTTTACCACAAAAAACTGGGAAAACGTATTGACTCGAGTATAAGCCAAGGGTGGGAAATAATAAATGTAACAATAATAAATAGAGTAAAATAATAAATGTAATAAAACAACAATAACAGAGTAAAATAATGTAAATGTTACAATAACAAAAATAGAGTAAAAATGTAATAATAATATAGAGTAAAATAATGTAAATGTAATAGTAACAATAGAGTAAACTAATAAAAATAATAACATAATAAAATAGTAATAGAGTAAAATAATAAATGTGATAATAACAATAATAAATAAAGTAAAATAATAAATGTAATAAAATAACAGTAAAATAGTAAATGAATATTCGGTAATTTCAGCTATGAATTCATCAAGTGGTTATTGGCAAGTTACTCTCTGGGTCTCATGTAACTGCAAGGCTTTTGGGAGGAAATACAAGACTATCATACCTAGCATCCCTTCCCACCTAAAGAAAGGGGCCTCTGGGAGTTGAAGTCCTAAGGTCGCTTTGAGTCTCTTTTTAGAGAGGAAAAGTAGGGCATGAGTAATAGTAACAGTAGCAATAGCAATAAGAGTTAGCAATAATAATAATAATAATAATAATAATAATAATAATAATCTATATAAATAAAAATGTAATGTTCGTTTGTGGGATTAACAGAACTTAAAAACCACTGGGTGAATTGATACCAAATTTGGACACAAAACACCTCTAAGGCCAACGAGTGTCCATCAGTCATAAAAATACGGAAAAAACACAGCGGAAGGGTCTTAAAAAGTCCAAAACAACCCTCTCAAAAATACATTACAACGCATGCACAAAACCACACACACACATATACACAAACATATATATATACACACATATATGCATATACACACACAAAACACATACACAGAAAAGGGTGAAAGAAGGAAGCAGGGAAGGAGGGAAGGAGAGAAGGAAGGAAAGAAAGAAGGGTAGAGAAGGAAGGAGGGAGAGAAGGAGAGAGAGAAAGAGGGAAAGAAGGAGCGAAAGAAGGAGGGAAGGAGAGAAAAAAGAAGGGTAGAGAAGGAAGGAAGGAGAGAAGGAGGGAGAGAAGGAAGGAGAGAAAGAGGGAAAGGAGAGAAGGAAAGAAAGAAAGGTAGAGAAGGAAGGAAGGAAGGAAGGAGAGAAGGAGAAAGAGAAGGAGAGAGAGAAAGAGGGAAAGAAGGAGAGAAAGAAAGGTAGAGAAGAAGGAAGGAGAAAAGGAGGGAAAGAAGAAGGGAAAGGAGGAGGGAAGGAGAGAAAGAAGGAAAGAAAGAAGGGTAGAGAAGGAAGGAGGGAGAGAAGGGGAGAGAGAAAGAGGGAAAGAAGGAGCGAAAGAAGAAGGGAAGGAGAGAAAAAAGAAGGGTAGAGAAGGAAAGAAGGTAGAGAAGGAAGGAAGAAGAAAAGGAGGGAAAGAAGAAGGGAAAGAAGGAGGGAAGGAGAGAAAGAAGGAAAGAAAGAAGGGTAGAGAAGGAAGGAGGGAGAGAAGGGGAGAGAGAAGAGGGAAAGAAGGGAGGAAAGAAGGAGGGAAGGAGAGAAAGAAAGAAGGGTAGAGAGGAAGGAAGGAGAAGGAGGGAGAGAAGGAGAAGAGAGAGAAGGGGAAGGGGAGGAAAGAGAAGAGAAGGAAGGAGAGAAGAGGAGAGAGGAGAAGGAAAAAGAGGAGGAGGAGGGGGAGGAAGAGGAGAAGGAGAAGAGGAGGAGGAGGAAGAGGAGGGAGAGGAGGAGGAGAAGGAAGAGAGGAGGAGGAAGAGGAGAGGGAGGAAGGAGAGAGGAGAGAAGGGAGGAAGGGAGAGAAGGAGGAGAGAGGAGGAAGAGGTGGAAGGAGGAGAGTGGGGCCAGGCAGGGACGGAGAGAAAGAGAGGCGAGAAGAGAGGGGGGAGGAGGGAGTGTGTGTGAGAAAGAGGAGAGGGAGGGAGAGAGAGAGAAGGATGGAGTGAAAGAGAGAAGCGGGAGGAAGGAGGGAACGCGAGAGAGAGAGGGAGAGAGAGAGGGAGAGAGAGAGAGGGAGAGAGAGAGAGGAGGAGGAGAGAGAGAGAGAAGGAAGGAGAGAAGAGGGAAAAGAAGGAGAGAAGGAAGAAAGAAAGGTAGAGAAGGAAGGAAGAGAAAAGGAGGGAAAGAAAGAAGGGAAAGAGGAGGAAGGAGAAAGAAGGAAAGAAAGAAGGGTAGAGAAGGAAGGACGGAGAGAAGTGGAGAGAGAAAGAGGGAAAGAAGGAGCAAAAGGAGGGAAGGAGAGAAAAAAGAAGGGTAGAGAAGGAAGGAAGGAGAGAAGGAGGGAGAGAAGGAAGGAGAGAAAGAAGGAGAGAAGGAAAGAAAGAAAGGTAGAGAAGGAAGGAAGGAGAAAAGGAGGGAAAGAAGAAGGGAAAGGAGGAGGGAAGGAGAGAAAGAAGGAAAGAAAGAAGGGTAGAGAAGGAAGGAGGGAGAGAAGGGGAGAGAGAAAGAGGGAAAGAAGGAGCGAAAGAAGGAGGGAAGGAGAGAAAAAAGAAGGGTAGAGAAGGAAGGAAGGAGAGAAGGAGGGAGAGAAGGAAGGAGAGAAAGAGGGAAAAGAAGGAAAGAAAGAAAGGTAGATAAGGAAGGAAGGAGAAAAGGAGGGAAAGAAGAAGGGAAAGAAGGAGGGAAGGAGAGAAAGAAGGAAAGAAAGAAGGGTAGAGAAGGAAAGAAGGAGAGGAGGAGAGAGAGAAGGAGGGGAGAAGGAAAGAAAGAAAGGTAGAGAAGGAAATAAAGTGAAAGAGAGAAGGAAGGAGAGAAGGAACGAAAGAGAGAAAGAAGGAGGGAAGGAAGGAAAGAGACAAGGAAGGGTGGAACCAAAGAGCAAAGGAAGCGAGAAAGGAAACAGGTAAAGAAGGAAGAAAGAAGGGAAAGAAAAAGAGGGAAGGAAGGGGTGGCTAGTAATAATAATAAATGGTGTATTTTCCAAGTTCCTCTGCTGATGATCAAATGTTTCTGAGGAGACCATGTTTTGAACAGGATTTTCCAAATCAACACCTCTTCAGAGTGGAGAGGAAAAAAAGAGTGTGAGGGAGAACGAATAAACACAACAACAGCAAAGACACAACAGTGCAGCATTTTCCCTCACACAATCAACATATTATCTGCCAAGAGAGCAGGCCACTCACTTGTGATACATGGGGACCACGTCGCAGAAGAGGAAGAAGATGTTCCGCACGGAGTAGAAGAGCTGAAGGCGGCTGCAACGTGAGGGAAAGAGAGAGGAGCAGTTGAGGCTCACAAATCAACAGAAGCATCGCAGCTTTAGCAAAAAGAATCACTTGGAAAGGGGATTTTTAGAATTTACTAGCAGCACAGTAGGCCTGCAAAAGACAGAAGATCTAAGTGGATCTTCTAGACCAAAATCCTACCCCTCAACAGCTTAAATATTGTAAAGATCTAAGTGGATCTTCTAGGCCAAAATCCTATCCCTAACCTACAAAGCCCTAAACGGTTTGGGACCCGCCTACCTTCGTGACTGGATCTCTCTCCATGAACCAGCCCGAGCTCTTAGATCCTCAGGGGAGGCTCTCCTTTCGCCCTTGCCATTATCACAGGCTCGTCTTGTAAGCACAAGGGAGAGAGCCTTCTCCTCTGTGGCCCCCCGACTCTGGAACTCATTGCCCGGTGAGATTAGGAAGGCCCCCACCTTAGAAATTTTCAAGAGGGATCTCAAAACCTGGTTTTTCCAATGCACTTTTGGAAAGTAGCCATATTATCATACACAGTTGCTCCCCCTCAACTGTTTCAGTCCCCAGAGTATATTTCCCCACCTGTTTGAAGGTCTATATTTATGAGCCCATTCCTTTATGAGTTTCTCCCTCACAAACAATCTGCTCCATCCTGATTTTACTACTTTTAGTATCTTAGTTTTATCTGCACATGCAGCCCACTCATTGTTATGTTATGTTATTTTATTTTACTGTGTATGATTTTGCTTTATCGTTTTTGTACTCATATGTTGTATGTATTTTACTGTGTTGTTATTGTGTTTTGGTTTTACTTTATTGTAATATGCTGTTGGGCTTGGCCTCATGTAAGCCGCCCCGAGTCCCCATTGGGGAGATGGTGGCAGGGCATTAAATAAAGATTATTATTATTATTATTATTATTATTATTATTATTATTATTATTATTATTTCCAGCTAGAATTTTATGCTACTGTGAATTTCAACTTCATATCATATTCAATTATTGCAACAAGAATCATATCATATTCAATTATGGCAACAAGAATGATTGACAACTGGGAAATAGAGGGAGAAAATGTGGAGGCCGTGACAGACTTTGTATTTCTAGGCGCAAAGATTACGGCAGATGCAGACTGTGGCCAGGAAATCAGAAGACGCTTACTTCTTGGGAGGAGAGCAATGTCCAGTCTCGATAAAATAGTAAAGAGTAGAGACATCACACTGGCAACAAAGATCCGCCTAGTCAAAGCCATGGTCTTCCCTGTAGTAACCTACGGATGTGAGAGTTGGACCTTAGGGAAGGCTGAGCGAAGGAAGATAGATGCTTTTGAACTGTGGTGTGGAGGAAAGTGCTGAGAGTGCCTTGGACTGCGAGAAGATCCAACCAGTCCATCCTCCAGGAAATAAAGCCTGACTGCTCATTGGAGGGAAGGAGACTAGAAACAAAGTTGAAGTCCTTTGGCCACATCATGAGGAGACAGCAAAGCCTAGAGAAGGGAATGATGCTGGGGAAAGTGGAAGGCAAAAGGAAGAGGGGCCGACCAAGGGCAAGATGGATGGATGGCATCCTTGAAGTGACTGGACTGACCTTGAAGGAGCTGGGGGTGGTGACGGCCGACAGGGAGCTCTGGCGTGGACTGGTCCATGAGGTCACGAAGAGTCGGAGACGACTGAACGAATGAACAACAACAACAACAATCATATTCAAAGGAATGTATGTTTTTACTTCCTCTTAGCTAGATACTCTGTTGGGTTTTTCCATCTTGTCTTGTGCATCTTGAGTGTTTATACAATCTGGGTTCATTAGAATAATCATCTGCCCTTCAGGTTATTCTTGTATAGTGCATGTTGATCACTGCTGTGCTTTCTATATGGCATCATCTACCCAAGGACCGAACCACGGGATTAGCACATAATGGCGGCACTCGCCTACGTTGGGGAGTTCACTCACTCTTGACCCCACTTGAGCTGCCCTAGCTCAGTGCTGTGGAAGACTGGGAATTATTATTATTATTATTATTATTATTATTATTATTATTAAGGCTATTTTTGAAGGGCAACTCAGGACAGAAGTCACCCTGAAGTCACCATGCCCAAGACCCTGCCTAGCCCTGCTTTAGGCCCTGCCCAAATCATTCAGCTCAAGTTGCTCACTGCTGCTCCACGCTGACCGAGGCCTCCTTCAACGTCTGGTAGGCCAAGGCCACCAACTTCTGGGTGGACTCGCTGATGCGGCAGGCGGGGAAGGAGAGCGTGTGGCGGCTCAGGCGGGTCCCCTCCTCCAAACTGGCCGCCGGCTTTGGAGTCGCGCCGTGGGGCATCAGCACCTTGGACTGGTCGCCGGCTCCGGGGTCTGGCAACAAGGGAAGGGTCACCGGAGAGTCCGGCGTCACCTGCAAGGATCAGCAGGAAACAGACAGCGGTTTAATGCCCAAGGTGGGAGGAAAGAGGGAAGAGGCATTCCTCCAGCCCTTAAGAACCAAGCAAGGCCCCTTCCATGCAATCCCTTCAGTGGCAGGCAAAAACCCTTGGATTCAGGCAGAGAGGCTTTTCAAGAAGACTTTTTAAGATAGCATTTCTCAACCTGGGGGTCAGGACCCCTGGGGGGGTCATGAGGGGGTGTTAGAGGAGTCACCAAAGACCATCAGAAAAGATTCCTTTCTGTTGGTCTTGGGGGTTCTGTGTGGGAAATTTTGGCCTAATTCTATCCTTAGTGCGGTTCAGAATGCTCTTTCATTGTAAGTGAACTATAAATCCCAGCAACTACAGCTCCCAAATGTCAAGGTCTATTTTCCCCAAACTCCATCAGTACTCACAGTTGGGCATATTGAGTATTCATGCTAAGTTTGGTCCAGATCCATCATTGTTTGAGTCCACTGTGCTCTCTGAATGTAGGTGAACTACAATTCCAAAACTCAAGCTCAACACCTACCAAACCCTCCCAGTATTTTATCTTGGTCATGGGAGTTCTGTCTGCCAAGTTTGGTTCAATTCCATTGTTGGTGGAGTTCAGAATACTCTTTGATGGTAGGTTAACTATAAATTCCAGCAACTACAACTCCCAAATGTCAAGGTTTATTTCCCCCAAACTCCACCAGTGTTCACATTTTGGCATACCAGTGTTCAAGTTTGGTCCAGATTTATCATTGCTTGAGTCCACAATGCTCTCTAGATCTAGGTGAACTACAATTCCAAAACTCAAGGTCAATGCCCACCAAACCCTTCCAGTATTTTCTGTCCTTCATGGGAGGTCTGTGTGCCAAGTTGGGTTCAATCCCATCATTGGTGGGGTTCAGAATGCTCTTTGATTGTAGGCGAACTATAAATCCCAGTACCTACAACTCCAATATGTCCTGACCAATTCCCCTCAAAACCCACCAGTATTCAAATTTTGGCATATCAGGTATGCATGCCAAGTATGGTCCAGATTCATCACTGTTTGCATTCACAGTGTGCAACTACAACTCCCAAATGACAAAGTTTAGTGAATGAAAATACATCCTGCAGATCAGATATTATGAAGCAGCAACGAAAATAATTTGATGGTTGGGAGTCACCACAATATGTGGAATAGTATTAAGGGGTCACGGCATTAGGAAGGTTGAGAAACACTGTTTTAAGATCAGGTCGGAGGGCGCTTTGGTTTGAGAGATGAATAGGTGTTAATTGGTTTTAAGACTTCTAATATCGTTAATCTTCCATGTTAATGTTTGTATATTTTCAGGTTTTAAATTGTTTTTTTTACTGTAATAATATTAAATAATAAACTTTATTTCTAGACATATCGAAGTAATACACAATAAAGTAACAGTAATAACAGTGAGCTTATGACGAAGAATTAAGCATTGTGATGAAAAATAAAACAAAACAATCCAATAAGATACAGTTAACTAAAATATAAGTAAACATAACAACATATACCGTAAAAGCAATTTAAAAGCCACTCTGAGACTTTTTTAGAGAGAGAAAAAGCAGGGTATAAATAATAAATAATTATTATTATTATTTTACTGACACAAAAGCACAGTATGTCACAGCAAACAAGATCTATATGCTGGATTTCCTATCACAAAATCACAAGTCGAACACTTCCCAAGCGTCTAGGACTGTGTGATGATGATGATGATGATGATGATGATGATGATTATTATTATTATTCGTGCTCTTTTGAACAGAACGACAAAACCCACAAGAACTGAGAGAATGACTATCATTTGAGCTATCAGTTATAAAGGACCCCAAGTGCAAAGGGACACAAAGGATTATCAGTACATTTGCCGTAGATGGCACCATATTCCAGTACAGGAAGGAATGGCCTTTTGCCCAGGTACCTTTATGGCGTTGTGGATCTCCGAGGTCATGAGTTTCCTGGCAGCCTGGATCACATCCTGGCACTTCTTGTCAGCAAAGTGCCCGTTGACGTTGCGGGCATAAGTCAGCAGGTCGGTGGAGTCCTCCCTGAAGAAGCGCATCTCCTTCAAGGCTTCCTCAAACTCCTCCACGGATCGAATCACCTGAGGGGAGCAGAAGAGGCAGAGTCAACCACACACCCAACATGATTCTGCTTTACAACTTAATAGTGTGCCCAATTCTAGCCCCCACAATTCAAGAGGAATATTGACCAGCTAGAAGGTGTCCGGAGGAGAGGGAGTGGAATGATCAAAGGCCTGGAAGTTATGAATCCCTCTCAGAGAACTCTCCGCCTCGGAATCCATAGGAGGCTCCTTCCTTGGAGGCTTTTGGATGGCCATCTGTTGTGAGTGCTTTGATTGTGCTTTTCCTGCCTGGCAGGGGGTTGGCCTGGATGGCCCCTGGGGTCTCTTCCAATTATAGGATTCTATAATTGAGGAATGTGAGGTAAACCTCAGTGTGAGAGAAGCCTCATGTGAGAAAACTCCATTGCTTAAGCAGCTGAGGAGGAAAAGGAATAATAATAATAATAATAATAATAATAATAATAATAATAATAATCAACTTTATTTATACCCCACCACCATCTCCCCGAAGGGGACTCGGAGCGGCTTACGTGGGGCCAAGCCGGGACAACATATTACAGCAAAAATAAAACCAAAACATAAGCAACATGCAACAGCATCAAATTACATTAACAAAAAAAAACATATAAATGCAGTAACAAAATAACATACAGTAACACAATTGCAGTGACAATGGGAGGGCCACATGTACAAAATAAAATGTTAAAAACACGAATGAGATAAGAATAGGAGCAAGTTATCTGCAGGGAGCACGTAAAGAAACAAAGGGTTGTGAAAAGGAAGGGGCCTGAAACTGTTAGGAATGGTGGGAGTTGAAGTCCAAAACACCTGGAGGGAGGCCCAAGTTTGCCCAATCCTGTTACATCTAGTCAGCAGCCTTCACACTGGAGTTTTCTCACATGAGGCTTTTCTCACACTGAGGTTTACCTCACATTCCTCAGGATGATACTACCTTTTGCTCACTAACAGGTTTCGGTCTACTAATTCTTTTCAGTTAAGCTTAAGTAGCCAAAAGGGAAAAGGAAAGGACCTGAGGCTGTTAGAAATGGTGGGAGTTGAAGTCCAAAACACCTGAAGGGCAAGTTTTGCCCAATCCTGATAATATTTAGTCAGCGGACTTTTTTACATGAGGCTTTTCTCACACTGAGGTTTACCTCACATTCCTCAGGATGATACTAGCTTTTGCCCAGTTAACAGGCTTCAGCCTACTAACTCTTTGCAGTTAAGCTTAAGTGGCCAAAATTGAAAAGGAAGGGGCCTGAGGCTGTGTAGGAATGGTAGGAGTTGAAGTCCAAAACACCTGGAGGGAGGGCACAAGTTTGCCCAATCCTGATCTATCTAGTCAGCAGACTTCACACTGGAGTTTTCTCACATGAGGCTTCTCTCACACTGAGATTTACCTCACATTCCTCAGGATGATACTAGCTTTTGCCTACTAACAGTCTTCGGTCTACTAACTCTTTGCAGTTAAGATTAAGTGGCCAAAAGGGAAAAGGAAGGGGCTTGAGGCTGTTAGGAATTGTGGGAGTTGAAGTCCATAAACACATGGTGGGCCCATGTTTGCCCAATCCTTCACACTGGAGTTTTCTCACATGAGGCTTCCTCACACTGAGGTTTACCTCACATTCCTCAGGATACTAGCTTTTGCCCACTAATAGGCTTCAGCCTACTAACTCTTTTCAGCTTAAGTGGCCAAAAGGGAAATGGAAGGGGCCTGAGGCTGTTAGGAATTGTGGAAGTCCAAAACACCTGAAGGGCCCAAGTTTGCCTATGCCTGGTCTAATGTCACAAAGAGTGGCCTCCTTGCCTCTCCTTGAGCCTAAAGAGCGCAGCATCCACTCACCTCGCTGTACTCCCCTAGTTTGCTGCTGTTTTGGGGGATGGAGTGCACCAGGCAGTCCTTGATGAGGCAGTCGGACAGCTCCTTCCCAATCACGTCGCCCAAAACCTCGGCCAAGATGGGTCTGCGGCCATCCTCCTCCTCCTCCTCTTCCTCAGCACCGGGCTCCAAGGGGACATCTGCGGAAAACAAGGGACGTTTAGGACACTCAGTGCTGCCTCTCTCTTCCCCAACACCACAGAGGTCCACCCATTGGACCATTTGAAGCTTCCCAACAGTCTTCAAAGGCAACCCCATGTAGAGCGAGTTGCAGTAGTCTATACGGGATGTAACCAGAGCGTGGACCATCGTGGCCAAGTCAGACTTCCCAAGGTACGGGTGCAGCTGGCGCACAAGTTTTAACTGTGCAAATACTCCCCTGGTCACTGCCAAAACCTGGGGTTCCGGGCTCAGCGATGAGTCCAAGCTCACACCCAAGATGCAAACCAAGCTGCGAACCCCTGCAATAAAGTTGACAAGGCCAGCGAGGCCGAGAGGGACAACGGACAAGGGACACACACCCTCACACACAAGATGGGACAGTGGGATGCTACCACTGTATATTATATTTATTTATTTACTTAAGACATTTATATGCCGCCCTTCTCACCCCAAAGGGGACTCAGAGCGGCTTACAAGGTATATATTACATACAATATATTATTAGCATAGTACAATATCAGCATTACACATTGCTATATTGCACCATACCACTATATCGTAATATTATTAATAATATTGCATGTAATATAAGTATATAATTATAATATGCTGTTATTATTGTTGCTTTCTTGTTGTTATTATTATATTGCATTACATTACAATATTATAAATATTATATGTATTTATATTATATTATTAGAATAGCACAGGAGACAATTTCTTTCTTTGCTGCCACCAATTTATGATTAAGTTTTTTTTTCTGCTGCCACCACTTATTGATTCCTAGGCCACCTCCTTGCTAGAATGTTCAAGAAGACACACAAACTCTTCAGGTGAAAAAAAAAAGAATATGTTGTTTATTTTGTTCTTGAACAGCAAAGATGTGCAGTGGTTTCAATAAATTGTCAGTCTTTATTTTAGAAAATGGTCTTATAACTTGAGTTTCTTAAAAGCAATGTTCTACACACAGGAATACCAACCGGTTAATTTGAACCTTTTGAATCCTTTTTCCACACCAGCACTCTAAACACTATAGAGGCCTATTATATTTCTTCTCCTTCTCCGTGAAGGCTTTAACTATTTTCCTCAAAGAGGTATCTTCCTAACAAACAGTTCCCAAAACTCTTGCTTCCTTTCTTCCACTTCAAAAGTCCTAACTTCTTCAAACACAAAACTCTCAACTGAACTAAACTCTGGCTGCATTAGGTCCTTCTTTTCCTCTGCGAAGCAACTCCCTCCAATTTCATCAGCCAATCAGATTGCTTTTCCAGCTATGAAGCTGCCTGATCATTCCCTCAGGCTTGTACACCAACCTTGTAAGGTAGGCTAATCCGTTACACCCCCTTTCTCCCTGTAAGGACTTAAGAGGCTGGGCATGTTTAGCCTGAAGAAGAGAAGGATGAGAGGAGATATGATAACCATGTATAAATATGTGAGAGGAAACCACAGGGAGGAGGGAGCAAGCTTGTTTTCTGCTGCCCTGGAGAATAGGTCAAGGAACAATGGCTTCAAACTACAAGAGAGGAGCTTCCATCTGAACATGAGGAAGAACTTCATGACTGTGAGAGCCGTTCAGCAGTGGAACTCTCTGCCCCGGAGTGTGGTGGAGGTTCCTTCTTTGGAAGCTTTTAAACAGAGGCTGGATGGCCATCTGTCGGGGTGATTTGAATGCAATTTTCCTGCTTCTTGGCAGAATGGGGTTGGACTGAATGGCCCATGAGGTCTCTTCCAACTCTTGGATTCTATGATGGGGAAAAGGAAAGGGCCTGAGGCCAGGAATGGTGGGAGTTGAGGTCCAAAACATCTGGAGAGAGGGCCAAAGTTTGCCCATTCCTAATCTATACTATAATGTTGTATATAGGAAAGTGCTAGGGGCCCTCTAGGCACACAATGTAGGACCCTTTTTGGTCCAGAACCCAACCACAGTCCCTCTCCACATTCCTCTGGTGCGGAGATGCTCAACTGGCTCCCCTCCACTCACCCAACTGGTATTTATGGAGGGTCTTGAGGACCACCTTGAGCTTGGTGAAGACTTCCGCTGGCAACAGGTGGCCCTGACTCCGAATCACAATGTGGGACCCTTTTGGGTCTAGAACCCAACCACAGTCCCTCTCCGCCTTGCTCTGGTGCAGAGATGCTCAATTTGCTCCCCTCCACTCACCCAACTGGTATTTATGGAGGACCTTGAGGACCACCTTGAGCTTGGTGACGACTTCCGCTGGTAACGGGTGGTCCTGACTCTGAATCACAATGTAGGACCCTTTTGGGTCTAGAACCCAACCACAGTCCCTCTCCGCATTCCTCTGGTGCAGAGATGCCCAATTGGCTCCCCTCCACTCACCCAACTGGTATATATGGAGGGCCTTGAGGACCACCTTGAGCTTGGCGAAGACCTCCGCCGGCAACGGGTGGCCCTGATCGGAGCCCACCGCTTCGAACCTCAGCGTGGCGGAGTCGGGCCACTCTTCCAAAGAGGGCTGCAGCGACGGGTGAGAGATCAGAGGCTTGAGGATGTGCGTCAACAACAGACGTCCTGGAAGGCAGTAAAATAACAGTAAAATAATGTTAATGTAATAAAAATCATAATAGAGTAAAATAATCAATGTAATAATAGCAATAATAAAGTAATAAATGTAATAACAATAACAGAATAAAATAATCAATGTAATAATAAGAAATAGTAAAATAATAATTGTAATAAAAATAAAAATGACAGAGTAAAATATTAAATAACTTTGACACGAGTATAAGTCGAGGGAGGCTTTTTCAACCTAAAAAAAGGGCTGAAAAATCTGGCTTATACTTGAGTATATAGGGTAGATAGATAGATAGTAGGGCTGGGCGGTTTCATTCGTTAATTTCGTAATTCGTTAATAATTCGTATTTAAAGTGGCTTACGATCCGATATTGAACCATTCAGGAGCAACTAAAAATCGAAACGAATTTTTAAAATTTATTTCGTAATTGTTTCGGAATTGTTTCATTATTATTTCGTTATTATTTCCGTATGTCTGGTGCAAGTTTTATAGTTGTTGTTTGTTTTATCAGTGATTAAAAAATAAATTATCACACCAACAGTCAACAACAGAGGGAGAGGGAAGCTTCAGAAGTTCCCCCTGTCCCATTTGGAGGGTTTTTTAGCGTATTGCGCAATCGCGTCCGCCATTAACGAATCGATTCGTTATTGTTTCGAAATTGTTTCGTAATTTCCGAAATTTCGTAAATATCGAACTTTTTTAAAGAAAATTTTCAAAATTCATTTAAAAAACGAAACGCAAAAACTCCCAACAGCTCTGGTTACATCCCGTTTAGACTACTGCAACGCTCTCTACGTGGGGTTGCCTTTGAAGACAGCTCGGAAGCTCCAACTAGTCAAACGCTCGGCAGCCATGATTTTAACAGGAGCGGAGCGCAGGGAGCATACAACCCCCCTGTTGCGCCAACTCCACTGGCTACCGATCTGCTACCGGGCTGAATTCAAAGTGCTGGCGTTGGCCTTTAAAGCCCTAAACGGTTCCGGCCAAAGCTACCTATCCAACCGCATCTCTGCCTATGAACCCACCAGGACTTTGAGATCTTCCGGGGAGAGCCCTGCTCTCGATCCCGCCTGCTTCTCAAGCTCGGCTGGCGGGGACGAGAGATAGGGCCTTCTCGGTGGTGGCTCCTCGGCTGTGGAACGCCCTTCCTACGGACATTAGACTAGCACCATCTCTAATGGTATTCCGCAAAAAGGTGAAGACCTGGATGTTTGTGCAGGCGTTTGAGTAATTTAGTGCAATCTGGTAATGGAACATAGGAATGGAACAAGGGACGACGAACCTGGACTACGCTTGGATGATGAGAAGATTGGGTACGGTTGTTTTTCATAATAATTGTGCATTGTAATTGCTTATTGGTAATTTATGGATAATGTGTTAAGTCAATTGTTATATGTTGTATGGAACCACTGCTGTTTCTACTGTTTTTACTGTTTGTGAACCGCTGTGAGTCGCCTTCGGGCTTGAGATACAGCGGTATAGAAGCAAAGTAAATAAATAAATAAATAAATAAATAAATAAAAAACCCCTAAAAACGAATCGAGTTTAGAAACAAATTTTTCCGTGGTTGCCCAGCCCTAATAGATAGATCTCCTACACATCATACCCCTCTCTTATTTGGCTAACAGGGGATTAACTTCTTGATTAGTCTTTTGAACACGAAGCAATATCCCTTTGCTCTGTTTAACAAAAAAGGGACTTTCACATGTGTACAAGTGGGAGTCTGGCTTTTATTTTTGGCAATGTCAAATATCACGGAGTGGGAACGGGGCCCCTGGACTGTGGGAAGGGTGAAGTATATTTGATCAAAAAGGCAGTGGGTGATTTCGGGGCTGGAAATGCTCCCCGCAACCGGCCTTTGTGGGTGAGAAGGGCTTACCAAAGTGCTGGAACTTGGATCGCAGTTCCCCTAGGAGAGCAAAGGCCTGCAGCACTGAGGCCACCGAAGGGCCGGTCACGGGGCCGTCCTTCGGAAGCACCGAGGACAAACGCAGCTCCGTCCGAGTGGCCGACTCCAAACTGCCCACTTCTAGGAAGGAAAGGAAACAACAGACCGATCCAAACACCGGGCTTCCAAAGACAAGAAAATGTGGGGAATCGCATGGAGGAGAAATGTTGTATTGTGGACTGTAAATGGCATTTAAAAAAATATTGTGAGCTACTTTGCATCTCAAGATTACAAACGGGTTATAAATAAATATAATACAAGAATAATAATCCCATTGCATACAATGGTGTAGTAAATGTAGTGTATGTAACAACAACAACAACAACAACAACAATAATAATAATAATAATGTAGTAAATGGTGTCCTTTATATATAATAATAATAATAATAATAATAATAATGTAATAAATGTTGTATTTTATATAAAATAATAATAACAAATCCCATTACACACAATAGCATAGTGAATAGAATAGCATAGTGTGCTTTATATAAAATATAATAATAATAAACCCATTGCACACAATGGCGTAGTAAATGGTGTTTTTATATAAAATATAATAATAATAATAATAATCCCATTGCACACAATTGCATAGTAAATGGTGTGCTTTATATAAAATATAATAATAATAATAATAATAATAATCCCATTGAACACAATGGCGTAGTGAATGGTGTGCTTTATATAAAATATAAGAATAAGAAGAATAAGAATAATAATAATCCCATTGCACACAATGGCATAGTGAATTGTGTGCTTTCTATAAAATATAATAAGAATATTAATCCCATTGAACACAATGGCATAGTGAATGGTGTGCTTTATATAATAATAATAATAATAATAATAATAATAATAATAAGCCCGTTGCACACAATTGCATAGTAAATGGTGAGCTTTATATAAAATATAATAATAATAATAATAATAATAATCCCATTGAACACAATGTTGTAGTAAATGGTGTGCTTTATATAAAATATAATAATAATAATAATAATCCCATTGCACACAATTGCATAGTAAATGGTGAGCTTTATATAAAATATAATAATAATAATAATAATAATAATCCCATTGAACACAATGTTGTAGTAAATGGTGTGCTTTATATAAAATATAATAATAATAATAATAATCCCATTGCACACAATTGCATAGTAAATGGTGAGCTTTATATAAAATATAATAATAATAATAATAATAATAATAATAATAATAATAATCCCATTGAACACAATGGCGTAGTGAATGGTGTGCTTTATATAAAATATAAGAATAAGAAGAATAAGAATAATAATAATCCCATTGCACACAATGGCATAGTGAATTGTGTGCTTTCTATAAAATATAATAAGAATATTAATCCCATTGAACACAATGGCATAGTGAATGGTGTGCTTTATATAATAATAATAATAATAATAATAATAATAATAATAAGCCCGTTGCACACAATTGCATAGTAAATGGTGAGCTTTATATAAAATATAATAATAATAATAATAATAATCCCATTGCACACAATGGCATAGTGAATTGTGTGCTTTCTATAAAATATAATAAGAATATTAATCCCATTGAACACAATGGCATAGTGAATGGTGTGCTTTATATAATAATAATAATAATAATAATAATAATAATAATAAGCCCGTTGCACACAATTGCATAGTAAATGGTGAGCTTTATATAAAATATAATAATAATAATAAAATAATCCCATTGAACACAATGTTGTAGTAAATGGTGTGCTTTATATAAAATATAATAATAATAATAATAATAATAATAATCCCATTGAACACAATGTTGTAGTAAATGGTGTGCTTTATATAAAATATAATAACAATAATAATCCCATTGCATACAATTGCATAGTAAATGGTGTGCTTTCTATAAAATATAATAATAATAATAATAAAATAATCCCATTGAACACAATGTTGTAGTAAATGGTGTGCTTTATATAAAATATAATAATAATAATAATAATAATAATAATCCCATTGAACACAATGGCATGGTAAATGGTGTGCTTTATATAAAATATAATAATAATAATCCCATTGCACAGAATGACATACTAAATTGTGTCCTTGCTATAAAATAATAATAATCCTATTGTATACTACGGTGTAGTAAATGGTGTTCTTTATATAAATATCAATAAATCCTATTGAACACAATGGTGCAGATGCTGCAGATATAAAGGAATGCTGTCCTTTATATAAAATAATAACAAACCCCATTGCAAACCATCGTGCAGTAAATTGTGCCCTTTATTTATAATAATAATAATAATCCCATTGTATACAAAGGTGTAGTAAATGGTGTCCTTTATATAAAATAATAATAATAATAATAATAATAATAATAATAATATTCCATTGCATACAGTGGCTGTCTCCATAGATGTGAAGGGCCATTTCAATTACAGAAAGGTCTAGCACCTTGCAGATCTCCTTTAAAGCTCAGGCTGAGTCCAGAATGGGATAATCGTCGCAATCGTATAGAAGTCAACGCCTGCTATGGGTCATGCTAATTGACTCTATGGTCCAATTGTGCTTGTTCTTAGGGTTCTGCCATGGCTGGGACCTTTTTCAAAAATGAAGGCTTTCTCTTTGCAGGGGATTGGATGCTGGGGACCTTTTCCAACCCATCCTTCTCCTTTTCCCACCCTATAGCCAACCTTTGGATGGAGGAGGGAGGCTCCAGGCCGCCATCTGCTGCCATTCTTGGCCCAAGAGGTAGAGGGTGTTCTCGGTCTGAACCCGGAGCTCCCTGCTCAGCGCCTTGAGGATCTTCAGCTCAAAGCCGCGCCGAGACTCCATCACCTTCATGTTCCTCCGGGTCTGGGAGGAGAGGGAGGAAGAAAAAACAGAGGCAGAAAGTGAAGCAATCCTGAAAGGCCACCAAAGCAAGAGGCCGAGCCGACCGGGAGGGACTCCTCCAGAGACCTGCGTTACCTTGTTCAGCTGCCGGGCTGCCGACACGTACTTCTTCTGCGGCAGCAAGACATTCACCTGCTTCAGAGAAGTGTCAAACTGGAAAAAGAAGGAAGAGTCATATCTCTGTCGCAACTCAGGATAGATTCACCTTGCCCAAGACACCACCACACACCAAGGTTGTAGATTTTGTAGTTTATTGAAAAAAACAAAATAAAATCAAAACAGGGAAATAAAGGAGTAAAGTTCATTGAGCAAAACAGAATCTTAAATGCAAAGGCAAGGTATCCGAGTTCCAAAGGCAAATAACATGAAGCATAGTCCTTAACCATCGGTTAAGCAATCATCCATGGCAGCAAGACAAGGCCTCCAAGAAATCAGGATCAAAATCAAAGTCCCAAACAGCCAGGAGCTTTCTGCAAAAGCCAAGGTAATTCTGCAGAAGTTAACAGGGTAGAAGCCACATTGGACTGCCAGCGAATGCCCTTTGCCCAAAGCATTAAATAGGTTTTCCCAACATGAGAGCATTACGTTGACTTCTAGCCTCATGGTTGTTGGCAAGGCGTGCGCTTCTTCGAACTCTTAATTGCAACCGGTCTTCTCTAATCAAATCTCCACTACTATCTTCAAGTGTTGCAACTCAGAATAAGCTTCACCTTGCTTCCAAACACCACCACACAAGAGCTGTAGTTTTATAGTTTATTGAGGAAAAAAATCCAAGTCAAAATAAAGAATAAGCATTGCAAAGTTCCAAAGATTAAGGTTAAATGCAGAATATAGTTCCAAAGATCTTCAGGTAAAAGCAGGAGACACAATCCTATTGGCAAAGTTAAAACCAGAGTCCCAGGTACAAGCAATGAAACAATTGCCCCATGAATCACAATGCAAGAAGTCCCAAGCGTACTGCTTTCCAGGCTAAGATTATTCCATGAAGCTTTCAGGCTAATAAGCTACATTGAACTGACACTTTCCCTTGGTTTGCAAGAAGCCTAAATACCTTTCTAACATGAAAACATTACATGAAATCATTGCAATGACCTTTCACCGAGATGGCCTCTCGTCTGCCGGCCAGGCGAGAACGCCTCCTGACCCGGAGATCAAGGCGAGCTTGCCGGGTCAGGTCACTATCAAGGCTTTCAGTATCAGCGTGGGAAGGAGGCAAATGCCTCCCCACCTGTTCGCTATCTGCTTCGTTAAAATTCCTTTCTCTTGGGAACCGCTTGGGATGTTGACTGTGCACTGTCTGACTCTGCACTGTCTGTGGGAGCCGCAGGCCCAGAGATCTGAGGCACAGAAAAAGAGCCAGGAATCTGAATCCCATCATCCTCATCATCACAGAACATCTCAGCCAGAACATCAAGGCCAGTTACCTCATTATCTTTGCCCAGCCGGGCCTCGTCGCCCTGGGAAACAGGAGGCCCAACGCTCTCAGAAGGAGTCTCCACCTGGAGCTCTGAAGTTTCGCTATCTTTATCTGAAAATACATTCCTTTCTCTAGGGAACAGAAATGCTGTCTCTTCCTCAGAATCAACACTGTCTGCCTCATTTGACTGTCTGACAGGAACATGAACAAAAAGAGGAAAAGAAAGTGAGAAGGAAAAAGGGAAGGAGGGAGAAAAGAAAGAAAGGGAAAAGAGAGAAAGTGAGAAGGGAGGGAGGGAAAAGAAATGAAGCAGATTGACTGCTGCTATGTGATGTATGTGAAGGAAGAGAAGGATGAAGTGGGAGGGAAGAAAGAAAGAAAGAAAGAAAGAAAGAAAGAAAGAAAGAAAGAAAGACAGAACAAAGAAAGTGGGAGGGAAGGAAGGAAGGAAGGAAGGAAGGAAGGAAGGAAGGAAGGAAGGAAGGAAGGAAGGGCAAAGCAGGAAGGAGGAAAAGAAAAGGGGGAAGGTATGAGGGGAGGAAAGGAAGGGAAATGAAAGAAGGGACAAAAAGGGAGGGATGGAAAGATAAAAAAGAAAAGACAAAAGATGGAAGAGAATGTGAAGAAGGAAGGAAAGAAGGAAGGAGGAAGGAAGAGGGGGGAAGGTGTATGGGGAAAGGGAGGATGAAAGGAAAGAGCCATAAAGAAGAAGCAAACCCAAAGCAACATTGGCCAGTTGACTGTTAAAACTACATTAAAAACCTATCCAGAGGAGACAAAGGACAAGGCTAAGGATGCAAGGCCGGCAGTCTTCTTCCCTGGCGCTCACCTCCTGGAGCTGCTTCAGCAGAGTCAGGATGAGCGTGTCTCTCTCCAGCTGCTGCTTCAGCTCCGCAAACTCTGTAATGGCCACATTCAGGTCGTGCTGAACCTGGAGAAGAGCCCAAGGAGGGGGATCAGTGGGGGACACGCACTTGTTCCCTTTCTCAATCACAACAGAGATGAAGCCAAAATGCAGCACAAAAGAATAATACTGAAAAGCTTTACCAATAAACCAGGCTATTGTGCTCAGAAGAGCATGAATCTGGAAGAGGTAAAAAAGTAATGCCATCAGTTGGGAGCCCCTCCTCCCAGCAACAATATAGTAATATATAACACTAATATTGTGCTGTGTTAATATTATAATATATTGCATACACATAAAATATTGATAATACAATATTATAATAATACAATATAATAACTTTACATTTCATATTACATGTAATATTACTAATAACATTACATGATAGTGGTATAGAACAATATAGTAATACTAGAGTAATATATAATACTAATATTGTGCTGTGATAATTATATAATATATTGTATACGCATATAATATTGATGATATTATAATGTAATACAACATTATAATAACAATAATAATCCAATATTATTATAAAAACCCTGATGGCTTTTCGTAAGAGCCTAAAGACCTGGCTATTCGAGAAGGCATTTAATTGAGCCACACGAATCTGGTAATGACATTTGGAACGGACTATGGATTATGAGATTGGCTATGATTCTATGTTGTGATGGCGCGGATTTAGTAGTGTGATTTAGATTAATGTGTAATTTGGTTGATATATTGTATGTTTTGTAGACTGTTTTTATATGTTGTGCACCGCCGCGAGTCGCCCCAGGGCTGAGAGCGGCGGTCA